TTGATTATGAAATAAGGTGTCACCAATTGTAATTTTGAATGATAGCTCTTTGCAATACATTTTGTAAAAGTTGTTAACTTTAAGGATGAGTGATTGATTAATCATAAGATAAAAAACTTTAGAAGAAAAAAATTGAAAATCTGATCATTGGAAGTTAGAATGCTTCTCTCAAACAAACTTCTTTTTATTCGCATTAAAAGAAAAGTTGGAAGAAACTTAAAGTCATTGTGGAGACAGTGATGGTAAACTATCCAATGAAGCTGTGGAAAATTTTTTCAATCACAAACTAAATCTGTAAATAGATAAAATTTAAAACATGAGAATTTCTTTCTTGTCATTTTATTTTTTATTGTATCATTTGTTAAAGTCATACGCAATGAATGAATTAAGTTGCAATAATTTTGGACAAGTTTCTTTTATTTCCAATATTTACAAACATTTTACTGGTAATATAATTTTATAATCAGAATAAAAATGAAAAGTTAAAAAAATTAAATGAAGTTGAATTTCATGTGAAATCTGAATCATTTGCATTTCCAGAAAGAATTTTTCTTTCATTCTTCTGAAACTTCTGAAGCTGTCTTCTTCATCATTTTTTCCAAATAGCTTTCGTAGAGTTCGTTGAAGTTGACTTCCTTCTTTCCATGTTTCTTCAATGTGGAGTTGACTTGAGCTCTCAGGAATGCAACTTTGCGTTTCAATTCGAAATTTTCCTTCATTGCTTCAAATGCTTCTTCTTCCAAATTCTGAGCATAAATTTTATTTTTCGCACGAGACTTTGATGCTGCTGCAGTGTTTTTATCTCTTTTCTTCTGTTCCTTTTCAGTTCGTTCTGTAAGGCTTGGAAAAGTGCGACGCATTAAAGGAAATGCAGGTAATTGAGCTGAAGAGACATCAATTTTGGATTTTTCATTTGTATTCTTCAGTTCCTTCAATCGATTAGCACGGAACACAATATGGAAGGTTGCTTCTCCTTCAAATATGTTCACTTCCTTCTGGACTTGCTTGCTTGTAACTTGAGTACTACCAGAATCTAATTTGATTCTCTTTGGAGGATTTTCGAGCTGCGACTCTTCATCTGTTGATTTTTCTGACTCTTTTACTGAAGCCACAGATGAATTCGATGCATCAGCAATTGTACGTTGCCTTGTAGTATTTCTGGGATTTGAAGGATATAATTCTGTGTCCTTCGTTTCAATCAATTGACGAAAACCGAATTTCTTGTGGTAATTGCTTTTTAAACTTGTTCCCGTCTTGCTGAAGAAGTTTTTGGTGTGATGAACTAAGAAGGTTTCAATGTCACATTCGATTTCATGTTTAGGTATTGACATAGCATTCAAGTTAACTTCTGCTGATTCTAAATTTCTTGACGAGCTGGCTTTTGGTTCAGTTGATTCAGTTGCTTCCTTTTCAGACATGATGGTTGTTGCTTCAGTTTGCGACAAGCTTGGTAGTGATTCAGCTAATGATTTTCTCAATGCGCTTATTACTGCTTCCAATCGAGCTGACTTTTTTGATGAGATTGTTGTCACTTCATTAACCGACGAGCTTCTCGATGTGGTTGTTGGGGATTTAATTATTTGCTTTCTTGATAAACTGCTTGCTATTTCTGATTCAGATAAGTTTATCGATGAGTAATTTTCTGCTTCCAGTTGATTTCCAAATGACTTTCTCGATGTAGTAGCTTTTGTTTTCATTGGTGATATTTCAGGTGCATAATTTGGTGCTCCAATCGAAGAAAGAAATCTTTCATATTCTGCATTTAGATGACTAAAGCGATGATCATACTCATCATGTGACAATCGAGGTGGTGAGAGTTCAGCCATTGGTTTTGGATTGTTGGTCATTAAGAATGCTGGATTATTTCTGATATCTTCCATCCATTGATCTTGAACGCCACTTAGAACTTCTTCTGAATACATTTTGCTGTTTTTGATTTAATAATAAAGTTATAATTTTTCAATTTTTAACAACACTTTTGGAAGCTTTCACTTTTTTAAAATGCACAAAATTTATTATTTTTCTTTATAAATTGGAACAATGTTTTTCTAATTTGATATATATTTGTAATAAAATCACTAGTTAAAACTCTTAAGGACTTCTGTTCATCCAAAGGATAAGAAAAGTTATGATGAATATTTATGATTTATGCTTTCTTTTATAAGCGAAATTCTCTTTCTCAGAAATAATTCTCAATAATTTTTTTAATCCTTTTTCTCTCTCATTTCTCTCTTGTAAGAACCAATGGCTGAAGATCTTCTCCCTCCATCTTGATTTATGTATTTGTAAGCTTTCGTAGATAACAGATTTCAAAGGATGCGAATAATGAGAGAAATCATTGCCAGAAAACAGCTGATTTAGACAAACAACTCTTTTATTCTTTCTCTCATTAAACATTTTATTGCTTTTATCTAAAGTTTGAAATTTAAAGGAGTGTGTCATTGCAACACGCTGATTATTATTTAAAATCTTTTCTACATTTCACTAAGAATCATCTATAAGACAATTAAAATAATGACAATGAATTTAAGTTATGCTCATTTGAATTAATGTTTAGATACGAATATTTTCTAACATAATTTTATTCATTTTCAATTTAGTTCAAAATGGAAAGCATAAGAATTTTAATAAATTTTTCAGTAATTACAAATCCTCAACATATCCCTCGACAATTATACCTGCAATTGAAACAAAATTAATCTGTAACATGCTCCAAAAATATTGGATTGAAATGAAATAAAAATCATGAGAAAGAATTGAATTTCTTACCTGGAACAATTTCCTCTTCCACGATTAGCATTGGGATTAGCATTAAGATCATTTGTAACTGGTAACTGGATTCAGATTTTTCTAATTGGGGGGAGTTTCGTGCAACGAGTGGAATGGGATTTTCTACCTTGCTGTGAAAGACGAAAGTTGAATAGCTGTTTAAACTTTCTAGGTACGACACCGGAAAATTATATTAAAAACGGTAATTAGGTCATTTTCATAACATTTAACAACGAGGAAATCGAACTTTTTAAACAAGTTTGAATTTATAAATTCAGTCAGGGTTATATAAAAATCATAGTAAACAACACAACTTAAATGTGTGATTTTCATTCCCTGCCTTATTCTTTCCTTTAAGTATGAGAGTAAAATGACACACTCACACTAATGAACATTTTACTTTAATTTTCATTTCATATAAGTTTCATACTTCACAGCAATCTTAAGAAACGAAATATTCAGCTGGTCTACGAAACTTCAACTCTTCACTCTGTCCTCATCTCAATTATCGCATAAATCTTTCGCCTTTTACTAAAGATTTCCGTGTGATGGGGAGATTCTAATGAGTCTATTAGAATTTTTTAGAAGGCAATCCTTACCGGATACGCCTCATAAATAATCACATAAACAATTATCAAACATTGAAAAGACATGAAGTTAATCATTATGAATCCGTTGACTTCAAAATAAAGTCTTTGACTAAGTTACTTAAACAACAACATTTCAATTCATTTTGATGAGAAAAATTATACATATTTTATTCATTTTTCATAGTCGAGTTTACAAATACATTTTAATATCGCTGTTGAAAGTTATTCTGATTCTGATTGAACAACATTTGATTCTGTTGATTCTGCTGCGACTGATGATACTCTTGTTGCATTTGTTGTTGATTTTGATTGTTAGATTGTTGTTGGTTTCCTGATAATCGTGGACGTTTAGCTGAATTCGAGTGATCATTGTTTGAATTGCCTCCATTACCTTGTTGGTTGTTCCCAGATTGCTGTTGCTGGTTTTGAGATTGTTGAGCTTGGCCTTGGCGCTTACTATCAGATTTATCTTCTTCTTCATCAGTGAGAAATTCTCTCTTCGGATAAGGAATTGGGCCACCAGCAAAAACATCTTGTGTGGGTTGTGGAGATTCACTAAAATACTCATCGACCATTGCCTGTTCACTTGTGATTCTTTTATTAGGATCCATAAGCAATAACTTTTGAAGAAGATGAAAAGCTTTGCTGTCAGGTTTTATTTTATGACGCTCCATATACTTAACTAATGAGCAGCTAGCATAACTTGATCGTTTGAAGTCTTTTGTCAATGTATTATGTTCAGGCATCTTCCTAATATCTTCCCAATCCTTTTCTTGAGGAAATCCCATAACATTAAATATCCGATCCAGTTGATCGTGATGATATGGATTACTGGTTTTGATGTCCTCTTGACGACAATGAAAAATTGGTTCAGATGTCAAAAGTTCGGCAAAAATACATCCAATTGCCCAAATGTCAATTGCCTTAGTGTAATGACGAGCGCCAAGAAGTAATTCTGGTGCTCGATACCAGAAAGTAACGACAACTGGATCAAGATCAGCAAGTGGTTTAAGTGGAGCATTGAACAGTCGAGCAAAGCCCATGTCTGCTATTTTTACTCGACCTCGTTCATTTCCTTCTCCCATCACGAGAATGTTTGCAGGTTTCAAATCACTACAAAAAAATAAAAGAATAATCAAAAAATATTTCAGATTGTTAATTTCAAAATAATGTTACCGATGAAGAACCCAATTTGTATGCAAATAATGTATTCCATCAAGAATCTGATAAAGTAAACTTTTCACCATTCCTTTCGGTACCAGCACTGGCTTCTTAGCAGCTTTTGCAGCTCGATGAAATTTTATGATGTGCCATAAATCATGTTCAGCATAATCAAACAATAGCCATACTTTTCTGTCGGTATGTGAGAGGAAAACTCTGATCAAGTTAATAACGTTAGGATGCTTAAGCTCACGAAGAAGTGCAATTTCTCGACAAGCGGACATTGATAATCCAGTCCCTTCAATTTGCTTTAGAGCATAATCCTTATTATCATTTCCTTCCTTCCTATGTCCTTTGTAAACATGTCCATAAGTTCCTCGGCCAACTTTGCAACCTTCATAATCGAATAGATCTTCAACTTTTGTACGTTCGTTTTGAGTTTTTACTTTGAAATCAAAATCCATTTTAAAAATTATGAAAATTAATGTTTCTATAAATGAAACTTATGTTATTTCAAAATAGATATTTTAAAATGATATATGAAATAACACACTTCTAGCTTAGGCTGAAGATTGTCATATGAATTTAAAATTTAAAACTTTTTTTTAAAAAAGTAAAATATCTTTAATGAAAATATGACTCAAACTTTTTTTCGTGAAAATGATTTTGGTTCATTTCAAACCTACCAAGAATTAATACACTCTCTACCCGAAACTCGTCTCCCCAAAGTCAGTTTCAGGTGGAGAGTGTGATTATCACACCTGGACGAACAAATCACGCCGGACTTGCCGAAAGTTCCTTTTTGTATGGGAGGTCAAATCCACGCAAGTCGATTTCGGTCAGTCCGACGTCTTTCAAGTTGAAAAAGGGTATACAAGTACAGCAAGCTTATAGTTTAACACCCTACCGGACTTTTATTTACAAAAGTAACAAAAATTTGACTCATCCTTCTCTAATAGTTTTATAGATAAACAATATTTGAATTGAAATGGATATAAATCGAGTATCAAACGAAAAGAAACTTAATCTTTGTACTTGGTACTTTAGAGGTAAGTGGAAATAATGAATAAGATGCATAAATATAATGAAATTATTTATTTCAGCTGGATTCGCTTTCCTCCCTTTTGTTTGGGTGATAAATGTTATTTGGTTTTTTGATTCAGCTGTAAGAAAACCTCCATTCGAAGAACAAAATGCAATAAGAAAATGTAAGTGTATGAAAACTTCTATTATCTTTTTCTATTAACAATTTTTGATGTTGTTACAGATGTGATATTATCAGCGATTGGATCTTTCATCTGGATCATAATAATAGCGACATGGGTGTCACTGTTTCAAGCTAATAGAATTGCTTGGGGATCCTGGGCTGATGATTTGTCTTTTATAATTCCATTAGGCTCGAAATAAGTAATAAAATAAAGATATCTACCTTGAATTTATAAAATACTTGCTTTTATACATTAAAAACAAATGTTTTCACTTTTCAGAGAGAGCATTCATTTCATCTGATTTAACTCACGTTAATACAGAAATGTATTTCTTAATTGTTAGCTAGGTATTATGTTTCAACGTTATGCTATCTTAATTTATTTTTCTATAAAGCAAAATAAATTTCTAAATAACAAAAATGACTTCAGAAAACAAGTTTTAAAAATGTAAGAGAAATAAAATTAACAATTTTTCTATATCAATCCTATGAATTTCCATCTAACAAAATACAAATAAATTTCCTTTGAACAAAATTGATGCATTTAATTACTCACTAATTCACTGTGTATTATCTTAAGATATGTATGAGAATAATACCTAGTTCTTAAAATATTGTGATTACGGATTTTAATTTTAAAATCGAATCTCCTTCACTTAGGTAATGATAATTAAATTAAAATATTACACAGATTTTTCTCATCAAAAATGTATTCACACAAGAATAAAAAAATGTAAGTTAAAAAAGAATCAAACATGGTCTTGAGTGAGTGTCAAAAGATTATTTCACTAGCAGCACGTGCAGAAATCTTATCAAACTAGTGATTGAATACAATTTGTCGGCTTAATGTGCATTTAACTGCCCGTCGTCAAATAAATATTGCGGAAGTTTTATCAGCAAGAAGTCATTCTTCAATAAATCGTTTTATATCGCCACGTGACTTCATCAAATATTTATTATTAATTTGTGGGTGCATCTCGCACTTTACACACTTTTTGTATAAAAAATATTCGTATGAATTTTAATCCTATTTGGTATAATTCCCAAGATATGTTGAGAGGAAAAGGGGCGGAGCTGAAAGGATGAAAATTTTCTCATTGGTGGAAAGAAATTTTCCTTTTTCGTAAATGTTTTTTGATTCCATTTTCATCTGAACTTTTCAATATCGTAGTTCATTCTTAATATACAGAAAAAATTAATTAAACTATTTAAAAATCATAAAAGAATGTCTTCAGAAGATATAAAAACATTTAAAGAAAAGAAGTCAAAGAGTTCTTCATCATCATCAACAAATTCTGAACGAGAAATTTTTGATGACGCTCGAAAAATCAATAATGGAAAAGTTATGGGCGAAAGTGAAGACGAAAATATGTCCGGATTTGAAAGTGACTCTGAAGATGAAAATCATCATAATGGAAATGGTAAAATTCAATTAATAACTATGAATAAATATAATATAAATCAAAATTGTAGGATTGCAAGTAAATTCAAATCAGATGACTTCTAATTTTCCACCTTCACCTTCTTCAAACTCATTAAACAACAGTCTTTTGACAGTACCTAATTCAACACCATATGGAACCGTCAGAACAGGTGGAGTTGTTGTTAAAAAAATGTTCACAAATACACGAGAACGCTGGCGACAGCAAAATGTTTCAGGTGCTTTCGCTGAACTTCGTCGAATAGTTCCAACTCACCCAGTCGATAAAAAATTAAGCAAAAATGAAATATTGCGAGCTGCTATTAAATATATCAGACTCTTAACAAATGTTTTAGAGTGGCAGAAGCAACAAGAAGAGAATTCTGAGAATATTATAACAAACGGTGCAGCTCGCACCGAATCTCAAATATCATGTGTCAACTACATTATTTCCAAGAAGTACGATATCACTAATCCGATTGACAAATTGAACCACAATCGCAATTTGCTGATGATTGCACCGTCACCAAATCCATTTTCATCTTTTTCTGGTTCTCAAATGTTGCCCAAATTGATTCCACCAAAATTGGCGTCTTCACCATTTTTTCAAAATTGCAAAACTTCATTCATTAAAAGTGAATTTGTTGACCACAAGAACTTAAACGTCACGACAAATATTTTTGGTCATTTATTGAAAGGTGCTTCATCTTGTGCAAGAGGTTTCAATACATCGAGTGAAATTTATCAGCAGAACATTTTAAACTTTTCGATGCGCTTCAAAAGCGAAATCAAAGTGGAAAATCTCGAACCGAAGCCGGAAGAATCTGAACCCAACAAAGTTTCGAAGAGAAAATCATCACCGAAGAATGGACAAGAAACCCCAACAAAAAAGAAAAGGAATTAAAGTTTTTCAATCAGAATACTTGAAGGATTCATGAATAAATAATCATGAAAAAAATGGGAAAGAGATCGGAAAGTGTTGATAAAATATGATGGATTTAATCCCACTTTGAAACAAAAAGTTTTATGTTGGTTTAGCAGTGAAATTAATTCCATTAAATTTAGACTTTCTTTCATTGATATCCGAAAGATGTAGATATTATTCGTCTTAATATTTTACATTTTAAATATGTAAAGTAAACTTTTAAGTGATTCAATTTATATTTTTGACAACGACAAGTCTTTTCACTTTTTTTTACGTAGATGTTCCTAAAGTATAAAGAACGTGTTTTAAAGAATCTGTAACTTATCAATAATAACTTTATAAAGTTTCTATCAATAATGAATGTCAAATTGATCTATTCAGTGCACTGTGGTTGGAACTAAAATGTGGGTGGAGAAGTGGAGAATTTACCGAGAAAAAAATTCCTATAAAACCTCCATACCCAAAACCTAAGTTCGAAATTATTCTCTTCTTCTTTCTAACGATTCACCCACCGCAGTGGGATGATTAGTTTTAAAAGTTTATTTAAATAAATATTAGCCATGCAAATAAACAAGTAAAAGAAAACTCTAAAAACTAAATTTTCCAACACTTTTCAATAATTTTTAAGAATTCATTTTAGATAGATATTTATTGGAGTTTAATTTACAATAACACTTAATAAAACCCCTATTCAAAGATTTAGAACCAGCTTTTAAGACAAACTAAGGTATAGATTGTAAAAAAATGTTTTCACTTTTAAAATTTTTCCTGTAGTGTCTGAAACAATTGTAACTTACTGCGAAAAATTATCTGTTAATCCCGTCTCATCACACTTTCATTCTTGTCTCGACATCTTTTGAGTAAAATATGAAATAAATTTTTTTTCTCTTCTAGTTTCAATTGAAACCGCTAGAGTTCTCTCATGTTGCGGACTATGAAAGTAAAAAATTGCGAAAAATATTAGTGGCTCGAAGAAAAACACGAAAATTAATTAAATAGCACTTTGTGAGGATACATTTAAGTAACAAATATCAAAAATGGTAAGTTGATTGCTCAATAAATATGGTTAGTATAAATTGCGAGCTCAAAATCATTCAAATGGACCTCAAAGTTGACAAAATGATAATGCAGCAGAATGTTGCCCAAAAAAAGCAAAAAATATTAAATTAATGAAGTTTCCTCCACTTCTTCTAACAATTTCCTTCATTCTCTTCTGTCTAGGGAAATGAAACATCATTGCCTATGGAGCTGTGCTCAAATTGTAAGTATCACGCATTGAAATTTTCCTCCCCGAAAAAAATTGAAGTTATCATCGTAAAAAGATGAAAATTTACAAAGAAAAAGTGAAACGAGTGAGAAAATAAAAGGAAAACCAAAATGAAAATTAACTTTCATCGTTAAAGAAGAAGGAATCATAAAAAATCCACGAGATTTTAATGTGCGACATTGCAGGTGGTTTTTTTCTCTTCCAAAATAAAGACAAATCCTTATTGTCGCTCCATCTCTCTCTCTTACGCTCCCGCACGGTCGGCTGAAAAATTGCGGAAAGACGAAGCAAGGGAAAAGGGTCACACGCAGTTTACCATTGAGTTTGAAAGAAATTTAAAAAAAAATTGAATCATTTGAAACCACCATCGCGCATATTTGCAATTCAAGCACACGGATCGGAATTCGAGGTTTTGTTGACTAAGCTTTGTGCATCAAAATGAATATTTGCGATTGTTATTGAATTTTGATAAGAGAATTGCAAACATAAATTTTTATATAGCTTTGTGCTCTTGAAAAGTTAATGAAATAGAGGCGTAAATAGGAAATATAACTTTAATCTGCGGTTTAGAGGAAAAATGAACGCTAACAGATCTGTTGAAAAAGGAGGAAAAAATCTAATCTTGGGAGTGAATCTTGAGAATGTATAAAGTGAGAGAAGGTGAAAAAAGAAAATAATGAACGAGAAAAAGAAAATTAATTCGGAAATTAGAGTTTGCTAAAATAAAGAACGGTCGCTTTATTTATTGCCGAATTTTATTCCTTTGTGATGTTCACAAGTTTAAAAGTGTTTAAATAAGTTTGCGTATGTATTTCAGAGAAGAAGCATGAAAATTCTTTTGTGTCGTTAGATTACAAACCAGTAGACACCCAGAGGTAACGAAAATGTTTCACGTTTACCTTTTCATCCATATCTGTTTGTGATTGCGAATGGTCGGGGTTTTAATTGCTCAAGGATACAAAAGCTTTGATGCTTTTGTGAAAGAATAAAGAAAAGTTTTCCAATGGCAAATCTAAATTATGCAATTAAGAAACACCAAAAGAAAAAACAGCAGCATAACAACAATAATGACAATGTTAAAGTCTTTTTAGTGTCTTTTTCCCAAGATAATTAAGAACTGTCAAGCTTTCAGACAAACTCAGAGAAAAGCTGATTAAACTCAATTTGCACATAATTACCACTTTGCCCTTAACGTCTCTGGACTTTCGATTTTCACAATTGCTTTTTCAACATTAGAGAACATATAGCCAGACACAAAAACCGATCATCCGACACGATTCTGTTTTATTAATTAATACAGCCAAAAAGCGATGTTTACAAAATAAATAAATGTTCTATTTACATTTTTTTTCGACTGCGGAAGAAGCGGTAAAAAACGAAGTTTGTGAGCTCCCGGCTAAAGCGACGGAAAAATCAATTGGCCTTTTATTTCTTCATCTCTGATTCTAATTCATTTGTGAACTTAAAAGAAGAAATTCTCGTAAAAACTGCTCTTAATTAAATGCGCTGCCATTCGTTTATCTCACGTGCTCAACAACATGGTTGAGTAACAGTTTGCTGGAAGTTGTAAAAAGAGAAAAAAACAGAGAAGAGAATGTGAATAACAACTTCTTCGTTTCTTGTATTAATGTACAAATATATGCTTTTTTCTACTTTTATCATCATGTAAACACCCAAAAATCGTTGAAAACAGACAAGGTGACATGACCGGTTAAACACACCCATAAGCAACTTTGTGTTATTCGCGTATCAGTAATCTGATAAGGCTTTCGTATTACTCAATAATTCTTATCACTCTCATATACAACACATTTAATTATCATTGTCATGGCAAACAGATATATTCAATTGACAAAAGAAGAAGGAAATAAAAAAAAATTGTATTTGTAATAAAAATATGAGTCGCTTTATCGACCGCACAATTTGTTTTCAACTCCCTCAATTATAAGCTCGTGATTGACCGATAAAATCTGAAAGAATATGTTTAGAAAGTCGTAAATATTATTTTCTCTTCAATCTTCTAAATTCAATTTCCACAACTCGCTCCGCAATAACATAATTTTTTTTTCTTTCTTTTCGATACATCAATAGCATTAACATCATCATTATTATCGTCATGATACCATTATTTGAAATGTAAACAAGATCTCTTCTTCAAAGGGAGGCATAAAGTTTACGTTGATCTCTCTCCCTCCTTCTCTCTCTCTCTTTCCATTCCTCTTTCTTTTGCTACTTTAACGCTGTTTGACGTATCGGATCGAAAAAATTTAATTTCTCACACTACTCCTTGGCTTGGCTGGTTGCTTAACTGTGCGTGGGTGGGCACAATATGTGTTGTAGAAAATTGAACGGAAAAGACTCTTCATTGCTAGTTTCATTACACAAAAGAAAGCGCTTTATAATGGAAGTGAAAGGAAAGCATGCACATTTTGAATTACGATGATAGAAACGATTGAAGCAAAGAATTCTTCATCAAATAACTCATCAAGATTAGAAGAATCTTTTCATCTTGTAAGTGCATATTTAGAAAGAAAAGGAGGATTGAGAAATGTTTCGTGGAAATAAATTCATAGTAAAATCTTGGGAGTTTAGAATTCTTTGGAAAGGAAAAAGGAAGAAAAATGACGAAACAAGATTTTTATCATGAACATTTTTAATGTTCTTTTGAATAAAGGTCTTTATGACGATATGATCAATGGCGCTGACGAATACGCAACAGTAAATCGGATTAAAAAAAATCATAAATTTGTAAATGAATAAGTTTTCCGACGTCGCTTACATTTAAAAGTTAATATTTCAGCTCGCGCTCCTCGCCTAGTTTTTATCGAATTAATTTTTTTATTCGGAACGAAGCACTAGAAAGCACCTCAATGTCCGGCACAACAACAAATACGAGAGCACATCGTATGGGTGAATGAAATTTGAATTTCGACACGTCTACGACGGTGTGAATTCTTCATGGAAAAAAAGAGAAGAAAAAAATCGCATGAGTTGATTTTAAAAGTAGAGCAACTCAGACATGTGTGCTTAAATGTTCCCTTCGAATACATTTTTTTCTTTCATTAGATTGAAAACGAAACCATAGAAATTAAAAGTTACGTATTTATATCTGCCAGGCAAAATTAATTTTGAAAATAAGAATAATAAAGTCGTAAATTATTGTGATAATCTTCATCCTTCACGCTTCACGACCGAGCTCAACTTGTCACCAATATAGGAGAGATTTTTCATCTCTTCGTTTTGAAAAAGAAAAATCAAGGAAATCCTCAAAAACGAGAAGTGATTTTTCAATTTTTAGTTGTTTGTTTACAAATGACAAAAGAATTTCCTTATTAAATTTCTCTTAAAAGTTATCAAAGTCAAGTTAGCATAATGTTGATGATTTTTCTATTATTTTACAATTACCACTTGTGATTTACAAACAAACTAAATCAAAGCAATTGCTAGGAATATCAAACGAGCTAAATACAGTCAACAATCGTAGAAGCTTCTCTTCAAATCCTAATTATCTTCTAGTGAAGGTCATTGAAGCCTGGGTCGAAACAAACAAAACAAAGGAAGAAGAAGAAAAAAAGTATGAACGAGGGAAGGTGGGGGTGGAGAAGGAGAAATCAATTGGTCGTTACTGCTAATGATAACGAGGTCAACAATGGGTGGAAGAAGAGGGGAAGTCTACGGATCGAGTACCGTATCCATGGATTATTTTTTTCCTAACTTTTTCAATGCCTGTTGATTAGAAATTATCTAAAAACAAAAGCAATTCATCTGAAATGTTTCAAATAAAAAACTGAAGCTGCTCGATGGGATCTTGATTTTTCAAATCCTTTATTTATATCGATACTTGTTGTTCCGTTAAGCCGATTGTTTTTATCAGATTTCATTCTTCAAATTGAATTTTTTACTTTTTATTTTTCGGATATCTGTGGAATTCTGATGAAAAATTCTTTCCAATCCTCTGTGAAAAACAGAAAACCACAAAATTAAGAAGAGAGAGGGAGAGAATGAGTGATAGAGAAAGAAAAAAATAACATAAAATTAAGTTGGCATGTTAAATTCACATTTTTCGTTTCTCTGTCTCTGCTTGACTTTTATGCTTTTTTCCCTGTCGGGATTTTTCTTTTTTCTTTAGTTCAATGAAAGAAGAAAAAAAAAGAGTAAAAAGTCAAAATTGTTATGAAGAATTTTCATTTGGACTGTCTTGAGTCGTTCTAAAAGTTGATATTCATTCTTAACACACGCAACCACACACGCACGTGGGGTTTCCCTTAAGAATTAAATATGTATACTTATTGTGACATTACTGATGGAAATGTCCGCAGAGATTTAAATGGAGCAGACGAGCTTTTCAACTTAAGGGCTTTTGTAGAATCAAAATTTACTGTATGAGTCCCAAAGTTGTCATTTTTTGAGACTTATAAGTCAATAAATTTTATTGCTTCACAATCGTTTTTACTAAATTTATTTATTTAGAAATTCAGAGAATTTTCCTTTTTTTCTTTTTCATTTTCACTCTTAATTAGCGAATCAAAACGGAACATTAAACCATGAAGCATTTGTTTAAGTTGCTTCATTAACTGTGGCTTTTTTTCACTTCTTTGCTTTTATTATTCTCATTTGAAATACAAAAAATTTTCCTCGGAAAATTGAAGAGAGATGGAGAGAGGGGGAAAAGAGAGAGAGAAAAAAAAATTAGATGTCACCAGATCTTCGTCTGGCTCGTAATTTATTCATGAATGTAGGAAGAAAATTTTCCATTCATTCCATGTTTGTGTATCTAATGTCAAACTCAATTGCGGAAAATTTTAGTTCTATCCAATGTTTGTGTTGATGAGAGATAACAGATGAAAGATTAAACGTTATGATGATTAACTGCTTAATCTTAGTTGAATTGAACACATGCTGATGTTTGATGTCATTTATTAACAGTGACCCAAATTCTCTTTACTATCTCATCTCGTCATTCACTTTAATAATTGATTAAATGTAATTTAGAATGGAAATTTATGGAAAATCAATAACAACGAAAGCATTCGAAGCATCTCAGTCTCATTTCACGATGTAAAAGAAAAATATTTCATTTGATTTTATTTCTTTTTTCTCTTCTTTCTTATTGTTGACGACACTCGAATGAATTTGTTGTGTAGATGCGAACGAGAATGTCAAGTTTAAAGCCCATTCAGTTGATCTACATGCAAATCCTCATTCTCACTCACTTCCCAATTCACTCGTTATGCAAATTAAAATTACAATTTCTTCTCTCATTCAAATTTTCCTTGTCGATGTGTTTGCCTGAAAGTTCTGAGAAGCTTGAAAAGGGGGAAGCAAAAAAAGTTTACGTTTACGCTTTTCTCCCTTGATTGAATTGAAAAGATATTTTTTCATCGCGCTTCCTATTTTATTTTCCACTTCGTCCAAAAAAAAAAAATAAGGATCATCGCTTGTTGCCTGTGAGAATGAAAGTGTAAACAAAGGCGCGTTTTATTGTTTATTTTTTACGCCAAAAAATTATATTTTTCTTGTTCGTTCTGCTGCTTTAGCGCTTCTAATATATTTATGGAAATGTGTACATGCGAGGAAAACGTCGCTTCTCGTTTCACTTTGGAAGAAAAGTCAAGAGTGGGAAAGAATGTGGCGATTTTGCAATGATTTTTTAGTGTCGCTGTGAGGAAATCGTAAACAAACAAGGTGAAAGTATTGTTTGTATTTCACAGGAGCGGAAGTCGTGGAATTTGTCAAGTTATAAACTTTTTCCCTTCTTTCTTCCTTTTCTATGGAAAAAAATGTAAAAGCTTTTCTTCACCTCATGATATAAATTTATAACATTCAAATTAAAACCATCAACAGACTAACTAATCTGACTTGGTGAAGTCTTCGTTTCAAGTCTCATTTTATTATGTGAGTTCACTTTACTTGTGTGATTAATTAATTAGGAAACGTTAAAACTTTTCTCTTTCAAGGCTGTGAAATTTCTCAAAATTTCCTTCTTCAATTAATTTCCATCACAGAATTCTTGACGTTACAAAGTTATCGCAGATTATTCACAATCACAACAAGCGACAATTAGGACCAATTTACATATCGCGCTATTAACATATTGTTGTGATCTTCACAAACATATGATACTGTCGTCTTCATAGACATTGGAAATAGAGAAAAAAAAGAATTATAAATTTTTACTTGAATTTCATACGAAATTCTCGACTCGAAACGAAGCAAAATATTTTGGCAAGCGAACAAAAAATAGAAAATGAAATAAAATGCTGACAGTTAAACGTGAAAAAAAAAATGTAAAGAGGTGAAAAGAAAGAATTGAAATTCTTTTGAAAATTTGATTGAAAATGTAAAATAATTGTTGAATGCACAATTTCCTTTGAAAGTCATGATTGGAATAAATAAAATAAATACCTATGAAAGGTTGTCAATAAAAGGCATACCGAAAAGCTTAATGAAAGCGCTTGTTAAAATGCAATTTATTCATAAGCGAACAACTGCTTCAAGGTTGCTTCTGTATGGAGGCAGAAAAAGAAGAATTTGTGCTGCTTTGTCGCATTCGATGTAATTTAATCAACGTATACGCTTATGATGATGATCGTAATGATGATTTTCGTCTATCTATTTTTGATTCGCGTTTTGTTTACATGAGAATGTTTTCAATGGCCATAAATCAAATGGCGATCCATGACATCATGTTTGGGGCTCGTTTATAAACATTGTTAACAAATCTTTTCATTTCTTTTCTTACAGTTGATGCAGATGAGATTCGTCGTTTAGGTAAACGTTTTAAGAAATTGGACTTAGATAATTCTGGTGCGTTAAGTATTGATGAGTTCATGTCACTGCCGGAATTACAACAGAATCCATTAGTGCAGCGGGTGATCGACATTTTTGATGCAGATGGAAATGGCGAGGTGGACTTCAAAGAGTTTATTCACGGTGTTTCGCAGTTTAGTGTAAAAGGTGATAAATTATCAAAGCTTAAGTTCGCTTTTCGCATCTACGATATGGATAACGACGGCTTCATATCAAACGGCGAATTATTTCAAGTGAGTAAATTATGAATGAATATCAAGTAGATCAGTGCTTCTCAAACGTTTGCTTTGGCAATATTGAAGTTGAATGCTTGGAAACTTTTCAATTTTTTTCTAAACTTCACGAGATAAAATTTGAGAATCGCTGTGTACTGTAACTAATTATTTAAATTCGTCTACTCATCATTCAATATTGAAATCAAATCAATTATTTTGTGCTAAGGTATTGAAAATGATGGTTGGAAGCAATCTGAAAGACGCCCAACTTCAGCAAATAGTTGACAAGACAATTGTGTTTGCCGATAAGGATGAGGACGGTAAAATATCATTCGATGAGTTCTGTTCGGTTGTTGGCAACACTGACATTCACAAAAAGATGGTCGTCGATGTTTAATTGTTTCTCTTACCTGTCGATTCAAATCATCATCCACAGCAACAACCACCCCCGCCGCAATTCGCTTCAAACTATCGTTCTCTTCATCGATTCTGTCGTGCGTTCGTTTAATGTCCACAAAATGAAAAAAAAAAATTAAAGAAGAAAAAGAAAACTATTCGTTAAAAATCTCATGATCATCATAATCATCGCCAATCATTAAAGTCATCATCATTATTATCATCAACATAACTATCATCAAGTAAACAACGTTTAATTAATTCTTATTAAAAGTGAAAATGAAGAAAAGAAAAAGAATTAACTTATTGAAACTTTAAGGAAGAAAACAAAAATGTTTAGAAAAAAAAAAGTCTTTTTTAACTTGTTCTTTAAGCTTAAGTCCAGAATGATAAGAAAGATGATAAAGTGAAGAAAAAGAAATATTGAAATTAAACATTATAAAAGAAAGATAAGATGATGGATGAAAAGAATGAAAACATTTAACTGATAAGGGATATTACAAATATTCTAAGCACTTTTTATCCTATCTTTGAGATGAGAAATATTTTAAACCAAATCGCTTAAGCAGCGAATTCTAACGAAGCTTCTTGAAAATTCTTTTATCTCACTTATAATACTAAAATCTACAAAGAATTAAGTTCGATTGAGCGGCGCATGATGAAAGATGCTGATAAAATGACAAAAAGAAATAAATATCTAACAATTACTTTCTTAGAATTCTCTGCTTAAAGATATTCATTTCTTTGTGATTCCAATGCATCCATCATCGTAATTTATTCAAATTGAAGTTTTAATGGATTCATTTTCTTTTACGAAATTGTAAATTTGTAATTTTTCTTAACAATTATTCTTTCTTATCATTTTTGTTAATATATTTTGCAATATTTTTGTTCATTGATACGATAATTTATAAGTCTTATCAGTTGTGGCAATAATAAGTTGATTACGCGATAAGATGATGTTTAAAATCTCCTTAAAATGGTTGTTGATGGTTTTTTTATACAGATATATATTTTTAATTGATTTACATTTTGTATATCGTTATCAGTTGTAAGTTTTTTTCTTAATTTTATTTTATATTTTATTAAATTTTGTGTCCGAAGAAAAACTTGCTTTAGCAACAATTTGTGCCATTCAAGTTTATTTATTACGATTATACTTCTCCTGCACGGATTCAATATATCGGAATCACCTCGAGACAACACAAACGTTTATTGCGAAGCTTCTAAAGACGCCTCCGCATTTTCGCATCTCACATGTTTATAGCGTCACAAAATCAAGAGAAGAATGAAAGGAAATATCATCCGATGAATTGAATTCAGTTAACATTTAATGTTTCGAGTAGAAAGGAAAGAATGAAGAATAAATTCCTCTTGCTCTCTGCTGGTGATAGATGAAAAATTGAATTTCAATGTTTCATTCTCATTGTCTTCGGGCACAATTCACAATCATATTGGATTTGTTGTCTTTCATACACATAATAATATAACATTCGTGAAGTTTCGCGTTTGTTCTTTTCTTTTCCTTCATTCTAAATTTTTATTCTATTTAACACGTGAGATTGCAGATTCTGTTCCCTCCAACAAATACGCAAAGAAAATACTTTAAAATATGATCAAAACATGAAGAAGAAAGGATAAACATAACGTTGTGCAAATATTCTCTTTTCGCCTTTTATTGAAAATATAAATGTGAAAATAAACAATGTTCATAAATGGAAGTTTCGCAATTTTTTCCACCCTTAAAGATTTCTTTTTTCTTTTCTTTGAGTTCTCTCGAAAGCTTTTTCGTTCGACTTTTGAATGTTGAAAAATTATACAAAAATAAAAAAGAAAAATAAGAAAATTGTGAACATATTTTTTAAAATGCAACATGAAAAAGAAACAAAAAAAAAACAAAAAAAGTCAAGTCAAAAAATTAAGAAGAAAAAACAAATGAATTAAACTTTCTGTGAAGTAAAAGTCGTGCAGTGAATGAAGAAAGCATACAATCACACGACAAACACTCACAACAAAAAAAAAATGTTAAAAAGCAATTTAAAACTTTTTATTCACGACTTTTCTATTTTAATGTTCATAAATGAAAAGAAAATGGAATTAAAAGTTATTATTATATGAAATTTAACAGTGAAAAAAAGAATCATTCTACGACTGTTAGGCTGATCATTTGCATCAGAGAATTCTTTAAGAAGAGACAAGAACAAAAGGTTTTTTATGACTGTTCAAATGCAAGAAGAAGTGGCACTAGATTAAGTTAAAATTAATGCTACAAAAATCTAGTACAAAATAAGCATTATTAATACAAGAAAAGAAAAATTTATTGTTTGTCTAGTACTAGATCATGGTGGTAGTAGATTAAGTTAAGATTAATGCTACGTAATTCTAGTACAGAACAATCATCATCAAATCAATTTCGTTTTTCATCTCCACCCTTAAGATTTCTCTGATCAATCAACTTAATCATTGAATTGATTGCGTAAATTCTAACCACAGTAAAAAGAAGGAAACTCTTCTTGTTTTCTTCTTCTCCGTTAATTTCACAGCATAAAAGAGAAAATGAATGAAAAAAGGAAAACTGAAATTAAATATTGATGAGAAATGAACCATTAAAATGAATCTATTACTATACATAAAACATAATTATTAAAAGGTAATGAGATAAATATTTGAAATTTGATTAAATATTACTTAAAGTGAAAAAAACAAATGAAACATATATTTAAATTAACTAATTTTAACCCTTGAAAAAAGAAAAAAAAACGATGATAAGAAAAAAAACATGCAAAATATTATGATAAAAGAAAACTCTTTATATACTTTATAGAATTTCTATTAAACTTTCTAATTGAAGTCAACATCAAAGAAGTTAATATAATGAGCATCAAATTCTAGAAAGTAAAAAAAACTATAACTAACTTCTTTAATGAAGCGCGTCCTTTTCTCTTGCTGTATGCATGAGATTGACGAAATGAATCATTCATAGATAGAAATCCTTTTAAAAATATTTAATCAAAGGTTTCAATGTCGCCCTCATTTTAAGAAAGTAAGAGTCGTTGGGAAGTCAATAAACAACAAAGGATGGTGGCTGGAAGATGAAAAGAAATTCAACTTCATGCATGAATGCTGAAGCTTATGCGACTCGATAAAACAAAAATCTAGTCAAACACATTAAAAAGATTAAATTTGTGCTCGAAGTCGACGCTCGTATGACATTACTCTCTTATCTTCCACCACATCCTCTTGTTTTCTTTCGCTTTCACTTCTCTCCTGACGGGTGCCGTTAGCATCATGACCTTTTCGATATTTTCTTTATGATGATAAAAAAGACAAAAAAAAGTTATTTTTCCTCATTTTCTTAAAATTAATTTTCAAGCGGGACGCTATGTGAGCTGACATTAAAATCTTATCACGATAGCATGAATCTAATCAGCGCGGTAAGCAAATTGTATCGTAATTAGATTTTGTCACTTCAATAGCCTCTTCTCTGCTTTGTTCTCTTTTGACTTAATCTTTATATCTTCCCCTTATTTATCATCTTCTATTTAATGGAGATACAATCTTTTCTTTATATGACACTGACGAGAAAATAAAATTAAATTTTAAAAATGCAAGAAATGAAAGAAAAAAATATTAACTTAAACACACAAACACACACTCACAGTGAAAAATAAAGAAACTTTTAATTCGTTGTATAATTAAATCAAGAAATATGAAATTGTATGTGGTTAGCTTAATTAAAGAAAAATGATGAAACAGAAACAAAAGAAGAATTTTCTTTTTTTCATTTGAAATACTTTCAGTTTGAGAATATTTAAATATTTACTTAGATATCTAGAAATTATTTAGGTTTCAACTTTTTTGCTATTTTCCTCAGCTTTTTAACCTTTCAGTTGGAATGCAAACAATTTCGTTCTTGTTTCCCTGGAAGACTCTCAAATTGAAAATCTCTCCTCCTTCCCGTTCATTAAATTTTGAGCTTTTAATTTGTTCATCCAAACTTGAAACACTCGTCGTCAAAAGGGCTTTCTCAAATGGGAAAGTTTTAATTGAGAAAATAAACTTCAAACTCCTTTTATTTTCAGACATTCTCATGAATCATTGATTGAATTTTCCAGGGTAAATGTTTCCTACGTAGAACAACAATTCTTCATCACTTTATGGTATTTAAGTTGTTTATTTGATAATCGATGTTGCCACCCAACATTCTAAGCCATTTTTTAGCTGAGAAGCCAATATTTGTGAAATTTGTAAAGCAAAAGCTTTAAGATTTCAAGATTATTAAATTATGACATTCCACTTGAACGCATTCACCCCAAAAACAAAGTTTCTGTGATCTAGTCAGAAGGAAGCGAAGTTTGTGAAATCTCTCACTTTCTCTTGCCTTACTTAAAAGCATGTTGCTTAATGTAAAATCGATTTAAGGATAAAACAACCCCTGAAATTGAGCATTTATAAGGCGGAAATATCAAGTTATGTATTTTGGTAAGAATTTTTACTGTCGAAAAGTCATGAGAAAAGTTTGAAGAATTCATTCGAGTTGGAGTCATAAAGGTATTCGGTATTCCATGCTATTTACCTATGTTAGGGAGTCCATTGAATAATTTATTGCTTAGCAATGTCCGGTTTACTTTTTGATATCAGAAAAACATCCTAAATAAAAAGATTTTGTGTCTTTTCAGACGCTTCTTCAATGAATTGAATTGAAGGAATTAAAGCTGCTTTTTGATTGAAAGAATAAAAGATGCTTTTTGATGCTTTCATGAAACTTCAGTGCAAATGTCGTTAAGCTTATGAAGTCGCATGAGGGTCGTTGTGACATGCTGAATAATTGATATTTGCTTCCTGCGAAGCTCGCATTAATTTTTCCACTCCGCTACTCTCTCTCTTTCCTTCTTTCTCGTCTTCTTGCATAATTCATATCAAGTTCTGATGCTTAAAAAGTTGTTTAAAATATGCTAAATGCGGGACGGAATGTTTAAGAAGAAAGAAAATTTTCTTAATTTATCAAATTTGAAGAGAGAAATTGGAAATTTCGTTACAAACGTTGTTTTGTTGAAAATTGTTACAAAAATATTCCTTCTAAGTATTTCCAAAAAAGAAACTTTTCCTTAACTAAGAAGACGGGAGGAAAGTTTCTTGACTCACAAAATCATCAACAAACTTTGTAATTCAACGTAACAAACTTTACCAACTCTTTGTTCATTAGCTTTTACAATACACTGACAAATGCATGTACATTCATGTTCATGCACGATAGAGACGACTGGGAAATCAAACTCAATTAATTTACTTGATTATTCCTAATAAGTTTATTGCTGACTTCACTTCAAACCTAGCTTCAAGCCATTTAAAATGTGTTTTTATATGTGTTGATATCGTTTGCACTTCACAAGAAGTTGTTATGGTTGTTGTTACAGTTTTCTGATGAGATCAGGAACACGCCAAACATTTTCGACATAAAGAAGGAAAATCGGTAAATATTTCCAATGAATTTTCATATGGAAGTTGTTCACTCAACAGTCTCATCACATCTCAAATGAATTTAAATCTAAAATGTTTTATCTTGAAACAGCTTATCACATTTAAAAGTAAAAGTTGAGAGCTGAAAATATGAATTGAGCTGTTGGAACACAATAAACTTCTTAACTTTTGATGAAAAAGTTTCCAACATTCGAAAATTATGACTTTTTGTTTTCATTTCAGGTTAGAGTTGTGATGAACTTGTTAGCATGAAACTTTCTTTCTTTCCTTCCTTCTATACAGCCTAAATATTTATTAAAAATAATTCAATCCATTTAAAGCTAACAGGTTGAAGAAAATGTGAAAGGAAAATTAAGCAGGAAACTTGTTGAATTCTGAATATAGACTTTCCAACACAATTTTTATATCTTCTCGTTACACGATACTGAAGTGCTGGATTTTATCTTTTTATCTAATTGATTTCCTGGATTGCACAACTGAAGAATATTTATGATGAATAATGTAAGTGAAATGGTGGGAATCTCATATTTTCTTTAATAGCTTCATGTCTCTCAGGTGACAAGGAGAATAAGAACGGCAATTGACAGCGGTGAACGAGAACAACAATTGCATTTAAACACGAAAAGAAAATTATATTGAAGATACTTTCAAAGCCCTTTAAAGAGATTTCTGGAATGTCATTAATTTATAATAAGAAAGACAATAAAACAGATTAAATCTTTTCTTTTATGTTTTTGACATAATTTTTTTTATTTCGTGTAAAAATGAACATCCTGCTATATCAATCGATCATTTCCCGTTTGTTCGTGTCTCTTAGTTTCCTTCTTTTCATTTATATTATTAAACAAAATTGTTTTGTGTTGATGATTGATAGATATTCTGGCGTACAAGACTTTAGGTATGTATGATTCATTAAGAAGATAATATTTCAGTAAACATCTAAATGTTGCTTAAAATATATTACCGTGACAATAGACGACGAGAGGGACGCTAAGTAGTACACAAGTTTATTTATCAACTGATGTTATCTAAGAACTTTCGAAAGTCTACCTTGACCCTTCATCAACGTTAAAACATCACTTTATGCTTTCAATATTCTCATCATTCGTTTGAAAGCTTTTCATCATGAGTTGGCTTTCATGTCTTATCATTTAGATCCATTAACTTCTTCAACATTCATAAACTCAACAATTCTCTTAACATCTTCACCAGTTCTTGCACATTCTGTAGAAATTTTTCATTCAAAATCAAACTTAAAATTCCTCTCTCATTGTCATAAATATCTTTTCAGCTTTCCAAGTTTAATTCTATTGCCACAATTAACAAAGTAATTGCAGAATCATTTTTGATTGAAGTAATTGTTTTTCTTTCTTTCTTTTTTGCATGTGACAAAATATAAAATTCTCGTCTGCTTAATGGCTTCGATACAAAATTCTATTCTAAAAGTTCAGAGTATGATTATGAATAAATAGTTGAGGGAGCATTCCATGATGTATGTCACATGATTACAATTTAATTGCATTTGAAGAATATTCTTCAATTTTCACATGGGTTTCTTTAAATATGTCGTGGCACAAAGGTTGATAATCACTGTTTGTCTACAAGAAAATTCAGTTTCTTCCAAAATTTCGCGAGGTTGTCGATGTGACATGTGCTTGAAACACTCCCTTCAATGAGTGGACTAATGAATACATTTATGCATATAGAAATATTTCTAAAGAAACTTTCTAGTTACTATTTTTACAAAATATAATAAAACAGAAATTGTAGTAAAAGTTGATGAATGGAATCAAATTGCTCGAGAAAATTTCTTTTAATTATTTCAACGAATTAAAAGATTAATAGAAAATTTTATGCGATAAATTCATGCATGAATAATTAATTAACTTCGTATTTCATTTTATATACTGCACCATAGAGAAATTGCAAAACCGAGTAAATATTGATTTAGGCAAAGTTTGGTTCAACTTCGAAAAGTTTTATGTGGTGAATTGGCTTTGATTGTGGAAGTTTGAAGGAAATTTTAATTGTTAATCTTTCATTAGAATTAATTAGTGAAATGAACGTCTTCCGCTTAAATGTTTATCACTTCTAATTAAACTTCAAATATGCTTAATCAAAATTATTTTTAAAAAATACTTTTTTGTAAATTAAAGTCTCATTGTAATTTTTTTTTGTCTTTTCACATATCGAATGACAAATTGTTCGTTGAAAATAAATGCAAATTTAAATTTACTTAAAACTTAAATTGAAAATGAAATGAAGAAAATTTTAATTTGGCTTCAATCACATGGCGATCGATTCGACACTTAAAAATCAGGAATCGAATGATCCATTTTGTCTTTTATCATTGATGATGAAAGTTTTTTCATCATGTGGTCGTATAAGAATGTTGGCATAATGGTGATGGTAACAACTTGTCCAGCATTTCCAATAATTTTGGTAATTTCTTTGTCCTTCATTGAGATCTTGAAATGAAATCAAAATTAATAAAATTTTCTATGATTGACTTAAACAATTTCAATTTTCTTACCACATTCTGACCATCAACTTCCAAGATTTGATGTTCAATCAAAAGACCATTACGAGCAGCTGATGAATCTTTGACAATCGAAGTAATTTTTCCATTCTTGAATTGAAATCCAACACAATTGCTGCTGTCTTTGTGCAGTGTGACAGTTCTTTCGAATGGCCGATCACGAATGACAACGGAAATGTTGTTGTGTGAAGATTTCTTCAGCAATTTATGAACATCATCAACAGAGAATCCAGCAACAGTTGCTCCATTAATTTGTAAGATTTGATCACCAAAACGAAGGCCAGCCATGGCTGCTGGAGAGTCTTTAACAACGACACATACAAACACGCCTTTATTGATCGATTGAGCTCTCAATCCAACTTTTCCTTTTCCATCTTTGCACAAGATTAACTCGCGAACACCGTTGGTGGTTCCAGCTCTAGCCAAGCCAATGGAAGATCCACTCAGGGGTGCGATCATGTTTGTTGGCATTGATGGTGGAACGTATGTTGTTACTTGTCCATTTCCTTTCTGAATATATTCAGGCATGTTAGCTGCAATAACGTCTTGTGACAACTCCAATCCCATATAATTAACAAGATCAGGATACACTGGTGATTGGCCGGGAGATGAGCCCATTGGCGGTGCTGAAGGAACACCAGGAACGTCTAATGTTGGATAATTATTCTCATGTTGATGCATCAAATGATGTTGGTGAGAAATTGTGTCCAAAGCTTGCTTTTGTGCGCGAATTGTCTGATCGACTTTCATATCTTCCAACGATGGATACAAAGACATTTTTCTTATGATCTTATTGACACTTGAATCTTAAATGAGAAGAAAAAAGAATTCTCGTCAGTTTGTTTGTATTTATGAATCATTGAGAAATTAAAAGAAAAAAAAAAACAAATGTGAGCAAAAATTGTTCTCAATCAATCTCAACCGACCCGAATCTCGATTTGACGCTTGCTTTTTCTTAATTTTATGTTTTGAAGGTCTTTTCTTGATTCTGATCTGTGCTTCCTTTAAAATGTCATGAATATCATTGAATGGTGGCATATAAATTTCAAGAAATTCTTCTAAATCATTATGAGGAAAAATTGATAAATATTGAAGACCAATTTCAATGATAACTTTTGAGAAAGTTAATCGAGCTTTATTCAGAAATTCGAGATTGTCTTCCATTCAATATTACTTAAATGAGTAAAGGAAAGAATATTTTTCAAAACGGAAATGCTTACTAAGAAAGATTTATTACGTGAATGATGAAATTAAAAATTTCTGGAACGGTAAATGTAAATTGCTTCGGGATCTTCGTTAAACTTTGGCTTGTCCGTCATGGATCGAATAATATTGAAACGAGAATTTTGAATGAATATTTTAGCGAGTTCACCAGGATTAATGACCTGAGTGATTTGATGAGCATTATGAAGCGTTTCATCAAAGTCTGTATGAGATCTTTTTGATTCTACATGGATCTCATTGTTTCTTGACGGTTCTTTGTCTGATTCTGTGCTTTTAAGCAACTCTTGAAAATCATTTTCCAATTTTGTGAACTCACATGTGAAAATATATTACCGTGACAATAGACGACGAGAGGGACGCTAAGTAGTACACAAGTTTATTTATCAACTGATGTTATCATTCTTGAAAGCTTTCAGATCCTTGACCCTTCATCAACGTTAAAACATCACTTTATGCTTTCAATATTCTCATCATTCGTTTGAAAGCTTTTCATCATGAATTGGCTTTCATGTCTTATCATTTAGATCCATTAACTTCTTCAACTTTTTCATAAACTCAACAATTCTCTTAACATCTTCACCAGTTCTTGCACATTCTGTAGAAATTTTTCATTCAAAATCAAACTTAAAATTCCTCTCTCATTGTCATAAATATCTTTTCAGCTTTCCAAGTTTAATTCTATTGCCACAATTAACAAAGTAATTGCAGAATCATTTTTGATTGAAGTAATTGTTTTTCTTTCTTTCTTTTTTGCATGTGACAAAATATAAAATTCTCGTCTGCTTAATGGCTTCGATACAAAATTCTATTCTAAAAGTTCAGAGTATGATTATGAATAAATAGTTGAGGGAGCATTCCATGATGTATGTCACATGATTACAATTTAATTGCATTTGAAGAATATTCTTCAATTTTCACATGGGTTTCTTTAAATATGTCGTGGCACAAAGGTTGATAATCACTGTTTGTCTACAAGAAAATTCAGTTTCTTCCAAAATTTCGCGAGGTTGTCGATGTGACATGTGCTTGAAACACTCCCTTCAATGAGTGGACTAATGAATACATTTATGCATATAGAAATATTTCTAAAGAAACTTTCTAGTTACTATTTTTACAAAATATAATAAAACAGAAATTGTAGTAAAAGTTGATGAATGGAATCAAATTGCTCGAGAAAATTTCTTTTAATTATTTCAACGAATTAAAAGATTAATAGAAAATTTTATGCGATAAATTCATGCATGAATAATTAATTAACTTCGTATTTCATTTTATATACTGCACCATAGAGAAATTGCAAAAACGAGTAAATATTGATTTAGGCAAAGTTTGGTTCAACTTCGAAAAGTTTTATGTGGTGANAATTTTATGTTTTGAAGGTCTTTTCTTGATTCTGATCTGTGCTTCCTTTAAAATGTCATGAATATCATTGAATGGTGGCATATAAATTTCAAGAAATTCTTCTAAATCATTATGAGGAAAAATTGATAAATATTGAAGACCAATTTCAATGATAACTTTTGAGAAAGTTAATCGAGCTTTATTCAGAAATTCGAGATTGTCTTCCATTCAATATTACTTAAATGAGTAAAGGAAAGAATATTTTTCAAAACGGAAATGCTTACTAAGAAAGATTTATTACGTGAATGATGAAATTAAAAATTTCTGGAACGGTAAATGTAAATTGCTTCGGGATCTTCGTTAAACTTTGGCTTGTCCGTCATGGATCGAATAATATTGAAACGAGAATTTTGAATGAATATTTTAGCGAGTTCACCAGGATTAATGACCTGAGTGATTTGATGAGCATTATGAAGCGTTTCATCAAAGTCTGTATGAGATCTTTTTGATTCTACATGGATCTCATTGTTTCTTGACGGTTCTTTGTCTGATTCTGTGCTTTTAAGCAACTCTTGAAAATCATTTTCCAATTTTGTGAACTCATCTTTTACAGCATTAATTAAAGCAGAATCAATGCAAATATTTTTAGACACATTAAGTTTTTCCTCAGTCATTGAATATTGGTAACTTTTCCTTAATTCTTCTTCAATTTTCTTCTTCAAAAAGCTACGCGATGGAACAAAGGACTCGTAAAAGCTATCGAAATCAAAATCATCACCGTATAAGTTTGTTAATTTCACTCCAATTCGAATTAAATTCTTTATAAATTCATCACGTTTACTTTTCAAATATGCGTAATAACGATCGACCTTTTTATTCTCCATCGATAATTGTTTTATGAAAAGATAATTAAAACTCAGTGACGTCAGATAAATTATGAAATTGTTTCAAAGAAAAACCCCAAGGCAGGTAAACGCTTACTGAGTGCAAATGGACCAAAGCAAATTAAAATGACTCATAAACTTGAATCTGGTTTTTCTTTCTGTTTTGTTTGCTTTCGTGACGACTAAATAGAAACATTGCTCAACTGAAGTTATGATTCATATTTTATTGTCATAAAGATAACAGAACTTTCATGATATAATTTTGTGATAAGACTTGGGAACAAATATTTCAATGTCAGAATGACCCTTTAAAGAATGTTGTACATGTAGTATACATGATGTTTTTTAAAAACAGAAAAACAAAAATATGAGAAAGTAAACACTTACCGAAAATGTTTGAGACAACAAAGAGATCTGATAATATTTAGTTTAAATACAGTCTCGATAGTAATATAACTTAACTAATAACTTTAACCAAGTTTTCACCAAGAGATCAGTAACAAATATTAACTCTGTCCTGTTAGAAGACCACTTAATATATCGATTTAATAGCAAGCACAAAAATTGTTTCACTCAAGTGGTTCAGTTCCAAGTTGTTCTTAGACAAGGAAGCGAAGAGTTGAAGCGATTTCAAACAAAAGAAGCGAAATTCGAAAATTGGCGGATTTTGAGAAAGGATAAAAAATCAGTTTGATTGAAATGACATGTGGAAGAAACTCGATTATTAACAATGCACGTCAATCTATGAACCAAATAAAAAATGAGAAATGAAATTAATTGAAGATTTTAAACGAATAATTAGGAAGTGTTTTCAAACGCCATCACCGCCACGGTTCAATTCATCGAAACGATCTTCGATAGGAATTATCAGTTTGTATTTATTCATTCAAATTATAACTCACTTTACATATTAATCTTGCAAATAGCAAGGGAAGAACATTAAAAATGAAAAAATTATTCCTATTATTTATTTTCATTTTTGCCATTATTCAGGTAAGATAAGAGCGAATTTAATAAATAAACAAATCATTAATTTTTTCTTCCTGTTCAGATTAATGACGGGATACCTATTGTGAGCTCCAATCCCATTTTATTAAGCAAACTCATTTCCTTCTTCAGTGGAATGCGTAATACTAAGGATATTAATGTGACCTACTCGAATTTAACCAATGCTGATTTTTCTAAAGATGGTGAAGTTGTACAAAGATTTGAAATTAATTTAGATTAAATAGTAAAATGTTTTATATTCTTTTATTATCATTATTTTGTACTCAGAAAAAAAAACAAAATGTGTAAATAAAAATTTGTGACGTAAAATGAAAAAAAAGTTTCTGGCTGATATTGAACAATGTTTCTTAAATTCATTGCGAGAGACTTTTTGATATTTAATTGATGACTCAGAATATTATTTTCTTTCTCTTCAATCGATTTTGCACATCTTGAAAAAAGGATTTTCTTAACCTAATAAGATGTTTATTGAATTTAATATTACCTACATATTGATCAGATTTTCATGTATGTATGTGAATGATGTTATGAAAGCCTTGACAAGGGACAAATGTTATCATGTGTTGTTCTTGAAAACTATTCCAATGAGTAAATAACTACAGTCTTAACCCGAAAGTAAGCCGCGGCTTTTATTCGAATTTTGCTTGAAAAATTCCCTGCGGCTTAAAATTCGATCGGAAAACTCGAATAGAAGCCGCACTCGAATAAAAGCCTTTTTGACCAAAAAAGGCTTGTATTCGAATAAGCAAGCCTGCGGCTTACTTTCGGGTTAAGACTGTAGGTGGATGTATATTAGTATTAGACATTGCCAGCCAAAATTTTCCTAACACCATATTATGAATAGAAGTTTCTTGTATAAAAAATTATTACTTAATTATTTGAAGATTTCAGTGTCATTCATTTGAAGAGAAAAAGTGTTGTGCAGTCACTCTTCTGTTTACACAGCTTGATAATGATGAAGTATTCTCTAATGAGAATAAAAAAAAAAGAAACAATTTATCAGTTAGTCGTCGTGGATAACTTAAACTACATCAACCAAAAAATTAATAAGCTAAAGTAATAATTAAATTATGAAATCATTTGCTATCTTTTGTATATCACTTGGAATGGTAGGATAAACTGGAAAATTATCTAGATCAAAAGATTTATTTAACATCTCTATTCAAGATATGTGGAATCATGTCCAAACCGTTGGATTCTCAAGATAATCCTGACACCAATACGAATGTTAGACAGGGCGAAGTGGATTACAATGAAGATGGAAGTCTTGTAGACTTATCAGGAAATAAACAGGACGTCGATGAAGTTGTTAGTAAAACTAAAGAAAACTTGGAAGCTGATGGAAATTTAGCTGTGGATGTGGGAAAACCAAATATTGAGGATTTGCCATTAGTTCCACTCGATGATACTACTACAATTGATACCAAATCATCAGGTTCATACTTTAAGGTTTCATCCTTCATTATCATTTCCAGTGTTGTAATTAACTTACTATAAATGAATTAAATTTATTTGAATATTTCTTAAAATATGAAATAAAAAAATAATTTTATTGATGATCATAAGCATTGGTAAAGCATTTTCATATATCTTATAAATGAGAAGTTTTAACATGACTTTTGACGAAAAATAATAACAACTTCAACTAAATTTCCCTACCATAGCTTCATGATAATTATAGCTGTAACCTCAAAAATCTACACCGGCAAAGTTACAAAGGTTTTGTAATACTGAAACCGTTTTCAAACGTTTAATTCGAATGGAATTAACTGAAAAGCTTTAAATAGATATTTTAAGCTTTTACATCAATGACTATTTGAATATTTCAATTTAATAATAAAAACGGTTCTTAAAAATTTAAAAAAAATTGTACGCATAGCTGTAGCAGAAAGTGCGGGAAAAAATGAAGTACTAGCTTGATACAAACTCGAATGTTTTTGTTTCACGCTGTGGATTCTCTTCACAAATTTCTTCGTTTCTTAGTCTAAAGGACTCATCATTCAAAGAAAATGAGTGATAATTCAATTGATACAGTCACATTGCATTATGCAATGTTGGAATATATTTTCAAGAATCAACTGTTAGGGACAAGTGTCAATAATTATGTGTGGGAAGATTTTCTTACACATTACGAGGAATCAACAATGTTTACTACCGGTAAATTATTTTCATTATTTCTAATCATTGAATGTAAGCTTACTCTTGTTAAACATTTCAACAGACGAATTAAAAATCATGTTTTGGAAGACAATTCTCCCAAATATTCACCAATATGAGCTCATTTCAAAAGAAATGAAGATTTTCTACAACAAGGAAAAAATCTTCTTAGATGTAGACGATGATCATTTTGGAGAAACTTTGTTGATCAATGAGCCAAAAGGAGAAGGAAAAGATTTTCTCGTATATAAAAACAAAATTGATTTGAATGGCTCTAATGATGTTGCAAGCACTTGCACGATAGAAGAAAAATCTCATAAGCTCCAGAATGCATTTACTAATCCAAGACAATACAAAAATAGATTTGGAGCAGACACTGATTCAGAAGCTGATGAAAACTGCCTTAATATAGTTGCTAATCAATATGTTCCAACACAAAATAACAATACTGATGAAGAGAAACTTCGTGCTGCTTTTGCTGCAGTTCTAATAAGCAAAGATCAATACGAACAAGGCTTGAAAACTTTATCTCATGAGGAAATCAAGAAAGCTTTAACAGATCGCAATATTTTAAGTTCAATGGATCACTTCAATAATCTTCCAACAGGTTTGCGATTATATTTAAGTCAAACGAGTTATTTCAAGAATCGGGTTGAAACCGGGCATGCCCAATCACATCAACAGCAAGATTCTTCAAGTCAATCCTCACTAGGTGTTGGTATCCTTTCGCTTGATGAACCTTTAATATCGCCGTCATTGTCCCCACAATCATCAATTGACAACCAAGCTGGATCTAGTCAAAGACTTCTATCGAAAGATTTTTCTGATTTGTCTTCAACTCAACAAAGTTCTGAAAATATTTCAAACCAAGCTTCAGATTCAGCATCGTCTAGTAGCATTCGAACAAGATCACGTTCAAAGATGGCAATTTCAAAACCTGCTGTCAATGTACGTATGGAAAGTTGGGTGAAATCTTTTTCAGCTTCTCGCAAACCTTCTTCAAAACGTCGTCGTGATTCTTCATCGCCTGTTTAATTACAAGAAATACAAGAATGTTCACATTTTATATTCCATTAAATTTACTTTATTTATTTATGTTAAAATTATTAAACGAAAATTACTTTCTATTCTCTGTTCTTAAATAATAAAAAAAGAAAAATGAATTAAATGAATGAAATAAGAAAAATGAATTTCAATAGCCTAAACTTTCATCATCATTGTTCCTTTTTGATATTGACGATTATGCCCACGCATTGCTTCATCTCTGAATTGTTCCCACAATGAATGTAGGCAAATGAAAATGTATCCATTTATAATCAATCCAAGCAATGTTTGAAGAAAAGCGACCCATGTAAAGTGAATAATTTGCAGTAGTACCAAAATCACTTCAATTCCAACAAGAATCATATAAGGGCGTAACTGACGTGAACTCCGCTAGAAGGTTGAATTAAAAAATGACGAAAACACTAATCAAATATGAAACTTACATTTTGAACACCTTTTATCAACTCTACACTAGCGTAAAGACTAATTGCGCAATAAATAAAAACAAGGAAAAGTGTCGTTGTTACAACTAGAAAGAAATAAATGAAAGTTTATCATAATTTCCTTGATAATTTCAATAAAACTTCAGTAACTTACAAGTTTGTGAGTTGGATGACATTATAGGATTATCAATTAATTTCACATTTTGTGTTGCATTTAAAAAGAATTCAAAGTTATAAGTGGCAACACCAAATATGATAAGCGTTGGAATTACAAGGAGAGTTGCACCAACTGCTCCGAACCATCCAAGAAACTTTCCACCTGTTTCAAGGCTGAAGCAACAAAGGAAATAATTAACAGATGGAAATCTCATGGTTAATGATTCACTTTTCTGTTTTTATATCATGAAAGTGGAAGTACAAATTGTGTCTTTGAAGGTTTAATGATAACTAAAATCAAGAGTGAAATAAATTCAAACTCTTTCGCCTATCACACCTACATACTTTTCAAACGAAATAATCTTATCTGAGACTGAATTGATAAGCATGATAAAAATAAAATCATTAATCATATTGCAATGCAATACAATAAACTCTTTTCTTTTGATAAGAAATTTCATATTTGCTGCGTGGTGTAATTCAAGTTTATGTAGTTTTTATTCATGGCATGTTTAATTATAGATTTTCAATAATTAAAAAATAAAAAAGATTATTTTATGTCATCAATGCTGACATATTGGTTTTATAAATTATTTATGATAATAAAAATATAACGAAATGTGATAATGGAGTTAAATTTTGCGTTACCGTTATTTAAATAATTTGTAAGTGCTAAATCATGAGGATTTTTTTGCTTATAAAATGAAATTTTATCTTTTTATTTAATCATATTTCCCATATTTGACCGTTATTATTTAATTTAAAATGGAAAGTACTAAAAGAACTTATTGACGCATAGCCGACGCCTGAAATCTGAACCCACATTTTTTCAACAGTGTACTTAAAAAACGTAAACAAACGAAATAAACTAAAGAAACTCCTCGTAAATTTCTAAAAATCAACAGTTAAAATGAGTCGTAGACGGAGTAAGAGTTCAAGTAGTGATAGTGTTGACAGCGCTGAAGAAGAACGTCGTCGTGATATCAAAGAACGTGACGAATTTTCTAAACGATTAAAGGAAAAAGATGACACCAAAACAAGGAAAGTTGTTGAATCAAAAACAAACAAACGAGCATATGAAGAAGCAGCTAAAAGGCTTAAGCTGCAACATGATGCTCGTGATAAACTCATTCCAAAGTTACGTGTCCAATCACGAAGAGAATATTTGGCAAAACGTAAAGAGGACAAAGTAGCAGAACTTGAAGCCGACATTGTCGACGATGAATATTTGTTTGACGAAGTTAAACTCACGAAACGAGAGAAAGAGGAGCGGGAACATAAGAAGCGACTTTTAAGCATTGCTAAACAACATGAGGAAGCTCGAGAGCTTGAACGTGTTCAACGATATCACATGCCAAAAGATATGAAAACAGGCGAGAAAGGTGAATATGTGGAAGTTGACGAACGTGAAAAGCAACCGAATTCCGAGCAAAAGAAATGGGAAGCTGAACAATTACAATCAGCTCTCTTCAAGTTTGGATCTCGTGATGTTAAACCCGACGAATATGATCTGCTTTTGGAAGATGAAATCGAATTTGTTCAAGTTCTTCGAATGGACGGTTCTAAAGACATTGACAGGAAACCGGAAGTGACTGAAAGTGAAAAGAAGAAAATGAACATTGAAGAAACTAAGAAGAGTCTTCCCGTGTATCCATTCCGTGATGATTTAATTGCAGCAATTCGTGAACATCAGGTAAGATTAACTTTGATATCATTTGACATTATTTCATTCTTATCATGAATTTCATTCTAGGTTTTGATCATTGAAGGAGAAACTGGTTCTGGTAAAACAACACAAATTCCTCAGTATCTCTATGAGGCAGGATTTACAAAAGATGGCAAGAAGATTGGCTGTACACAACCACGTCGAGTTGCAGCAATGTCAGTGTCTGCTCGTGTTGCTGAAGAGATGGGCGTGAAGTTGGGAAATGAAGTTGGATACAGCATTCGATTTGAAGATTGTACATCAGAGAGAACTGTTTTGAAGTACATGACAGACGGAACTTTGCACCGCGAATTTCTCAGCGAACCTGATTTGGGTTCATACAGTGTGATGATCATCGACGAAGCTCACGAACGTACACTTCACACTGACATTCTGTTTGGACTTGTTAAGGACATTGCAAGATTTCGTTCTGATTTGAAACTTCTCATTTCAAGTGCGACGTTAGATGCTGAGAAATTTTCAGAATTCTTTGATGACGCGCCAATTTTTCGAATTCCTGGTCGTCGATATCCGGTTGACATTTATTACACAAAAGCACCAGAAGCTGATTACATCGACGCTTGCGTTGTTTCGATCCTTCAAATTCATGCAACACAACCACTTGGTGATATTCTCGTGTTTCTCACAGGTCAGGAAGAGATTGAAACTTGTCATGAGATTCTTCAAGATCGAGTTAAGCGTTTAGGATCAAAATTAAGAGAATTGATAATTCTTCCGATTTATGCCAATTTACCTTCAGATATGCAAGCAAAGATCTTCGATCCAACACCACCAAATGCTAGAAAAGTTGTTCTAGCTACAAATATCGCTGAAACTTCTCTCACTATTGACAACATTATTTACGTCATTGATCCAGGATTTGCTAAGCAAAACAATTTCAATTCAAGAACAGGAATGGAGACGTTGATGGTTGTTCCAATATCGAAAGCATCAGCAAATCAAAGAGCGGGACGAGCGGGAAGAGTTGCACCTGGAAAATGTTTCCGTCTTTACACAGCATGGGCCTACAAACATGAACTTGAAGACAATACTGTGCCTGAGATTCAAAGAATAAATTTGGGCAATGCTGTGCTGATGTTGAAAGCTCTTGGAATTAACGATTTGTTGCATTTTGATTTTCTCGACCCGCCTCCACATGAAACTTTGGTTCTTGCTCTTGAACAACTTTACGCACTTGGAGCTTTGAATCATCATGGCGAACTCACGAAAATGGGACGCCGAATGGCGGAATTTCCAGTGGATCCGATGATGGCGAAAATGCTTTTAGCTTCGGAGAAGTATAAATGTTCGGAAGAGATTGTAACAATTGCTGCAATGTTGTCAGTCAATAGCGCAGTGTTTTACCGACCGAAGGATAAAATTATTCACGCTGACACTGCAAGGAAGAATTTCAATCACATTCATGGCGATCATTTAAGTTTACTTCAAGTTTACAATCAATGGTGTGAAAGTGATTACAGCACGCAATGGTGTTATGAAAACTTCATTCAATATCGATCAATGAAGCGAGCTCGTGATGTTCGAGAGCAACTTGTGAATCTGATGCAACGTGTGGAAATTGACATGGTGTCGGGTGTGACAGAGTCGATAAACATTAGGAAAGCTGTCACTGCTGGTTACTTTTATCACATAGCAAAGCTTTCAAAAGGTGGAAATTATAAAACCGTGAAACACAATCAAACTGTGATGATTCATCCGAATTCAGCTCTTTTTGAAGAACTTCCACGATGGGTTTTGTATCATGAACTTGTTTTCACAACAAGAGAATTTATGCGACAAGTCATTGAAATTGAAAGCAAATGGCTATTGGAGGTTGCGCCGCACTACTACAAACCGAAGGAACTTGAAGACTCAACAAATAAAAAAATGCCGAAGACTGTCGGACGAGCAGGCCCATCAGATGCACATTAGGAAAGAATTTCTAAAGTTTTTAGTTAATAAATTTGATCAATTATGAAAATACAAAAAAGTTTCATTTTAATCTTTTGAAATTTGCAGAGAACTTTAGAAGATTTTACAGCAAAATGTCAACAAGAAGGTGTAAAAAAGTTAAGTAACAAAGGAAGAAATCATTTCCACTCTAGTTTTTCCAATAAGTTTTAATTGAAAAATAGAAATTGTTGCAAGAAGTAATGAAAGTTTCTGTTCACATTAACGCTTTTCTTCACTTTTTCATTAATCACAACAATTGCAAGTTTCATGATTTGTCGGATTTTAATATTCTTATTAAACAAAAGGAAAAAAGTATTTGTAACTTGAGATTAATTTCAAACTTCCGTGAGAACGAAAGAAACAACAGAAAAAAGGAAACTGAAAGAAGGATCGTCGATTGGTTGCAACTTTACTTGTCATAAAAATGCAAAACTTTTCTATCGCGATTTTAAAGTCATTTCAACTCATAGTTAAAGTGTTTAAAGATTAAAAAACTTTAATTATTCAAAGAGTTGCCTCCCTTGTCAGAAAATAGTTTCATAATTCCACATAATTCTCCAATGTCAATTTTTACGTCTCATTTCGTACAATTAAATTTTCTCTTCCTTGAATTATTAATTCTCTGCTGTTGATGCAATTTTAAAGGGAAACATTCGAATAAATAAGTCCACGTGATTGAATCGAATATCGAGCAGACTTAAGTGAGAGTGAGACTATTAAAAATTAAAATCGAACAGTGACTTATTGTCAGTTGATAGACATCGAATAGAAATGATGATACAAACCATGAGTGGACAATTGCGTGTTTAATATTTTGAGGGATTTTATGTTCAAGTGAGATTGTCCATTAAGATTAAATCAGTAAACGTAAAAGGGAATTTTTAACATTGTTTATGTTGATGGTTGAAAACGGAAGTGATAAAGGTCACCAGATTACTCGACTGACAGATGGTGGAATGAAATATTATTTGCAAAGAAAACATATGTCACTTTGACAATCATTAAGTTTCATAAATTTCCACTCTTCAAGAAATTTCAGGTATTAACAGTTAGAAAATAAATAAGATAAAAAGAAAGAAATGTCAATTTATGATATGAAACCATCAGTGTGAAGGTTCAAATAATCTATCATCAAATATCTGTGGTTGTATGTTGATGGAGTATTAAAATATGTAATAAATTATAATACATGCCACTGATATACATCAGAGCGACACATTTTTGAATAATTTATGTGATATTAATGAATGACTCTTTGATGGCATAATAGTCGGTGCTTCGATCACCCTTAAGGTCTTCCAATACTTTTAAACATTCTTTATTCATCCACTTGGAGTGAGAAGATTGTTCGTTCAACCAATGTTTAACTTTTAATCGAAATGCTTTTTTTTCACTCTCATTTTAGATCAGGAATTAAAAATCACAAGCAGCAAAATCTCCCTTTGGTTATTTATTTATTTTACTAACAATACTGAGAAAGTGAAAAAATGTTCTCCAAACCCTTTAGCAAAAGAATTTCTTAAACAATGAACATGAACAACAGCGAAATGGAAATTAATCAACGATTCGTTGAAATAATTGTGATTAACTTCTGCTTGAAAAGTGGTTTTGTTTCATTCTTTTGTTTGTCAGCGATATTATGTTTGATTTCAGAATGTTGAGATTTTTATAAAAAAATGCGATTGAATATTAATCCAAAGTATTTAAACATCTCATATTATTAACGATTCGAAAGAGTTTAGTAAATAATTAAACTTTTCTTATCGTTTTATCAAAATTCGCTACAATGTCAACACGAGAATTCTGTGTTCGTTGAGTTTCAATTTAATTATTCATCAACCTGTAGAGTGCTCATCAGTGGCAATGACGTGCCTTCAGTGAAGCATAAAAGAAGAAGAGAAAACTTTTGAAATTACCACCTGATGCTAGATTATGTAAATCAAAGCTGTTAATTACACATAATGACGTGATGTTGATTTAAACATAAAAAAGGGAGTTGAAAACTTAGGGAGAGAAAATTGCTGTGCTTTTCATTAAGTTACACTTTTTAGCCTTGGCTTTTAAACCAAAATCTCTTTGAATATTTTCAACACAAAAGATGATGCCAAACAGTCAGAATTATTAATGAAACTGAACACAATTTTGAAGTAGAAAAGAAAATTTCTTCGCTCAAGAACGTTGATTTGGAACTTTAAACCATAAAATTATAGAATTGCGAAATTTCTCGTTATTTTAGAATATTCTTGAGATATTTATGCAGATCACTTTTCATATGCTCCATCCTATGTTATATTCTCATAAAATATGAAACACAATGTGCTAAAATGTTCTGAATTTAACAAACGCGATTAAGCACAAAAAGCGAAGTTTATATGTGAAAAAGATATAAAAAAAACTTCAACGTCTCTGACACAAGAAGGGTGGTTGTGAGAAATCCGAATGGTAATTGGATTCGTGTTGAGTGAAAATATAAAAATATTCAGTTTTCAGCATGTCCTGGCATCGAGAAATTCACACAAAATGCTTCCACATTATTTCTTGAAGCTTTAACATTGCTAACAGCTTTAAGAAAAGCTTGCTTCAGGTCAGTGATTTCTGATATTTCTCTTCAAATTAGAATCCTTAGAAACTAAGTTAACAAGTTTATCAATTCAGATCCAATTAATTCGTTGCGAGTTGCTGTTGATGTTCCCAATCTAATTCATTTTTAATTTAAAGCTGTTTGGTTTCCAGAAGCAGTGTTCATGTTACAAGTAGAGAGATTTCTTCCAGGATATTTTCACCTCAAAGTGAAACTTGAATTGAACGAAAATTAAAACCACAGAAATTTATTTTGTTAGCTCAACTTCACTGCTTTCAAATAGCGATGGAATAATTCTTCCACCAACAAGGTCAGAGCTAATTACGTGCCAAGTAAACGTATAGATTAGCACCATTCTGATAGCCAATCTAACAAAAATGTTTATGCATAGTTTAAGCAACGATTGTTAACATGACACACCCACGATGTTTATTTTCCGCTTTAAAAGTTTTTCAGTTTCTTCGAACTTATCAAAATCAATGATGCCAGTCACCGGGTCAACATGATATGATATTGAATTAAAGAAAATTGATTCAAATGAGAATATTGACATGTTCTGAATTATAAATCGATAACGAAGCTGTTTAAACTGCAATATTCGTTGGTGACCTCAAAAAGGGCTGTCAGTGGCTTCCAACTGTTCTGAACTCAATTCAGTTTTATATTTTTATGACATCAAGTTGTAGTAAAGTAAAGACAAGAGTCAAAAAAGATATAAAAGCATTTTTGACATTTTAAATCCTGAACATACAGCAAAAGAAATATTTTTCCAAAAATATTTTCATAATTTTGTTTCTTCCTTTAATTCAATTTTCAAGCCCCCATTGCATTGAATTTTTTATAAGATTCTCTCGCTTTCGTATCTCATATATTTAATATTTAACATGCAATAAATCAATTTCTTTCTTCATTCTTCTTGAAACTTCTTTGTTCATTCGCTCGTTCCTTCGTTCGTTAAAAAAGATGAAAAACCTTATCAGATCCCTTGATAGAGTTCCTAAATAAAACATAAATATCAGCAAAGATGTCTAATGAGACAGACACGATGATTAAGAAGACAACTGACAGCTCAAACCAGTTCTGTGAAAGTCTCTAAGAATTACTTGTAAATTCAAGAAAATCATTTTTGACAGTTTCTGGAAAGCTTTTTTAAAAGTATTTTATGCAATGAATTAGTGCAAATGAAAAAGAACTGGCAAAAGTAACCCATTCGATAGATTCTTGTGTAGACACACAACTCAATCATCGTCTGCCATTCAACATTTCCTTTCCTTTTCTTTTTCTTTTTTAAATTCTCAATGAAAAGTATTCTTTTTCCATTCCCTCATGAAATATCTGTTTCTTTTTACTCCTTCGTTTGGTTGAAAAGTTTTCCGACAACACCATTTCATAAGTACATAATACACAAACCACACCAACATAGAAATTTGAGGGGAAAATAGCTCAACACAGTCACATTTCTCGAGGAAAACATTTCCATAGCAACGAAGGTGGCGTTTTTATGTACGTAAGTTTCGTTTGTGTGACTTTGAACACGATATTAAGTCATATTTATATGTTCTGATAGATGATCGTACGCATAAATCCTTCTGTTTGTTAACACATTTCATGCTTTGAGGTTGAATGAAAATATTTCGGGAACAGCAAAATTTTATAATTAATACTCACACGCGCGCACACACACACACACATATATTGAACAGTGCCGTAATCTAAATCAGGTTGCAGACATTGTGAAATATATTTTCATCATCCCCAAGAAACTTTCCATGTGCTTCTTATAACATCCAAGTGTTGTTATTGTAAAAGTTTTCGTATGAAGCACGAGACTTTTCACACCAATTCTACTCAGTGACTACTGTTGTTGAAAATATCTCTGCATGAAAATATTATTGCTCAGTCGTTCAACACATTTCAACCAAAACGGATCAAAATCTAAGCTGAAGAAAATTCAGAAAACTTTTCCTTCATTTAAAGCAACATTTCCATAATTTTTTATGGTCGCGTAATTAAAACAAAGCAAGAGCAACACGAAAATGTTATGACGATGGTGAAATTTTTAAATTTACATAAAAAATTATTTTAGCTACGGGAAAATCATTCTAACAACATCCATTTAAACAACCGGAAAAATTATTACTTGAGGTCAAAATTAAATAGAAGTCGGATAAACTTTTTGAAGTGCTTCAAATCATTAACAAAAAAAAATGGAAGCTTGCAATTTTTTTAATCACAACTTGTGCGGTTTCTCATTGAATAAATTTACATAAGTAATTAACATTGCAACTGTGCATTTATTGTTGCCTACTTATCAGAAGCGTTAGAACATTGATAAATTTGTTTGAAGTCAGGTTGAAAAGCATAACGACACAATTTGTTCTTTCCTTTTTTCGCATTTATCAGTAGACAGCCGAACACGAAAAACCGTACCACAAACACGAAGAAACAAAGAAAAAATTGTAAAGTAAAGAGAGACATACTGATACTTGCGCTTACTTAGTCTTTATTTTATTGCCATCTAAGAAAGATAACAAACGCTGAGTGTGCCACTCGTTGGAAACATAATCAAAAAAAATATTTATTGAAATAACTTAAGTGATTTATTCATATTAAAAGGAAAAACTTTTCCTTAAAAGTGCAAGGAAATGTGTTGCTAATTATCAAAGCTAAAAACAAAACTAAACTTCTAATAATTTTAAATAAACATGTCGTTTGCAAAGAACCGATTTAAAGTGAGTGGTCAAGTGTAACTCTTATCGGTAGTGAAAAAAGAAAAATTAACACCGAATAAAAATTCCAGGAAATACTTCCTATAATTTATTTGTTTATCAATTACGTCTTATCAAAGTGTGCAAAAATAATAAAGAGTTTTAATGTCGGTTTGCGTGTCATCGTCCTTGAGTGGTGGGATGACACATGCATCCCATTTACATCTTACATCAACTTTATCTATGATGCAGCAATCTTTTCAAAGTCACCATCCAATGGCTCCATCGGCAGTTCTAAATAGTAACCTTGAAATGTCGCAGACTCAATCGTCTACACAGCTGCAAACGTCATCGTCATCATCATCCTCCGACATTAACGAGCCAAATCAAGAAATGCTTTTGGCTTTAATAGCTAGGAATAAAACACTCGAAGGTGAGTTCAGATTGTTCTGATTGCTATTTAAGTTTTTTTTTTCACTCTTTTTGCCGTCGGAAATAACGCAATGAACAGAAAAAAAAAGTTTGATTACATGTCAAATTGAATGTTATCAATGGCATTGAAAATTGAATGACTTTAGAAAGTAATTCGCTTAATAATAAAAGTTAATTATTAATTACGTCGCAAAAGACAAACAAAAATATGTTTAAATTTTAGAAAGGTCTCTTTTCAATCTTGTTCTCCAGATGATATTAATCGTCAAGAGGAACATTAAATTAACACTGACTGTATTGATCATTATTTTTGTACGTTTTGTTTATTTATTAAGTTGACTCAAGTGTTGATTATCAAGACGTCAAGAAATGTGACAGTTTGCGAGGCTTTCTGTAATTTTTTAAGCTTTAAGAAAAACTTTATGGATTATTTGATTAGATCTGTTAATCTCCGATATCAGAATCACGAATTTTCTAGGACAAACTTATCAATAAATTTTATGAAGTGAAAAAGCTGCATTTGGACTAAAATTTAATCTTATGATAAATAAAATTTTTGTTGCAAAAAAAATTATAGAAATCACCGAATTGATAAGTTATCTGTTTATCTATGAGAATTTTATTGCGTCATTTCTTCACCTTCAAGATCCTGGTTGTTGTATTTCTCAAAGTGAATTCTAAACTTTGTTCTTTTTTGTTCACAAAAAGAAAAACATGAAAAAACAGCGTCAATGTAATCATTTCGTAAGAAAGCGATTAGCTCCAAAAACAGTTTATCAGATCGCTTATTCATCGATTCTCACGCGCAGTGATTTTAAAGCAATGATAAGGAAAACATTCTTCTTGACTTGAAATTAAAATGTCTTATCGACAATAACTGAAAGTAACTTCAATGAAACTGTGACAGTGTGAATGAGATTCATGATTATTATGAATTCAACCTTGAAAACTTCTTAGCGTCATCGCTTTGATGAACCATAATAAAAAAAATTGTGCCGTAAACATTTTCGAAAAACCAGAAAACTGCAAAAGAACTCGAAAGCCATAAATCATGTGCTTTTAGTCTGGCTCGGGTGTTTCTCCATTCGGCATGGAATAAGAAATGAAGAATGATAAATTTTATCTTCTTCGATCCCCTTCGAAGTTGACTTGACTTAAGAAAATCGATTTTCTTTGCTTTTTTATTCACAAGATTTTCTTTAGTTTTTGTTGCTTTCTTTCCGTTCTCGTGCTTTCAACTTGGTAACGTTTTTATCGAAGCAAGGATATAGGAACTGAGATTTGTTTTCTGCTTCGTCATAAACATAAAAATGACATCTTTATTTATTTCATTTGTGAAAATTTCCTTGAAGACGAAGACGGTAAAGTGAACTGTCTACGGTGAGGGTCTTTTATCGATTCCTTCTTTTTTATATTCGAGATTTAAGGTAAAGAGTTCTGGTTTTAAAGGAAGTCTACAATGAAAAATAGAAACCTTTTCATGACAGAAAGTACAATGGCGGAAAATCTCTCATTGAAAACATTTTCCCCCTTTTTATCATTGAAAGCGTTTCCCAATTGAAAACAACTCTATTGAACATTCTTTCCCGAACTGAAAGAATAATCTTATTGCTCAAAAGCAAAAGCAGGATTTGAGTAATGGAAAAACAGGAAAATGAAGAAATGATGGAAACCTTTTGTACAAAAGATTTCGAGTTTTCCTCTTTTTTAATCATGATGGGAAAAAGGAAAATGTAAAAAATGTTCATTCTTACATCAATTTTTAAAGTTAAATGTCTCGTTAATAAAATTACATGAAGAATCATACAAAATAATTAAAAGAAAAATTTAAAGAAATGCCCATAAATCATTACATAACTTTCTTATAATCCCAGTAGCCTTTTCGGTAATGGATTTCGTTTTATATCCAAGTCAACATACCATAGATTCGTCCTTCGCGATAAAAACTTCACCCGAATGACACGAAACGAATGTCAGGACTTAATAGATTTCCCATTTACGTCTCCCATCCTCAACCGTTCCATTAACGTTCATATCGGGAAAAGAAATATAAAAGTTACGACATAGCGAGAGAGTAACAAATGTCGAAAAACGTCCATTTTGTGTGTGTTGAGATATGTCACTCGTTTCGTCCCAATCGTTTGAAACGTTTCGTTTCTTTTTACGACTCCCCATTTTCCGTGTTTGAAATGTTCGAATGTGTTGTTAAATGCACTCCCAAGCAATAAAACTTTTCCTCACAAGTTTCTCTCATAGCATTTTATTCTTACGACATTATTTAAAGATTTCAATAAATGGCGTTATCGTTGATAGAACTTTTACTGACTTTAAAGATTAAAGTTTGATCCTTTTCAGCAATTGCTTAAAGATTTCACATTTTAAAGCTTAACAGCTTTCATTTTATTGAGTTTCATAAAAAAGTTTTCAGAGACGAAACTTGAAACGTTTCGATGTACGGCAGCCAATGACTTGGCAATCCCTTAAAGTAATTTCTGCTCGACAAATGAGCAGTTAAGAAGTATCAAATATCACTTAACTCTTCTGAGAAGCCGATGATAAATGAGTTGAAAATTTCGCTCTGAAAATGATACGAGAAACAATTTTCCTAACTTCTCTTAAGTTGCTTCTTTAACGCTTGAAAACACTTTGCTTACGACACTCATGAATCATGGAAGCATTCAGATGAATGAACGTGTTATATATTGGAGAAAGGTGGTGAAATATGATGATGTAATATATACCAACTCAATATCTCTTGTTCACATTGATATTGAAGGCGCGTCACAACTTTAGGTGTGCGAAAGAACAGAACGAAAAAAAAATATTTCCACTCAACAATAAAGCGATTCAATGCATTAAAACATTTTATTTGCTATCGGGAGGTTTTTGTTTTCTATAATGCCACGAATTGAAAAATGAACTACCATTGCGCAATGTTATTTGATGCTTGAAAACAGGTAGAAACAAACGTAGCTTTGTCCATTAAATTAATAGAATGCTACAAGGCAAACGGCAACATTTCAAAAAAAGGGAGAACAAACAGCAATAAATCAAATGTAATTTTTAAAGATTGCTCTCTTTTCATTCTGCCCACACCCAATGAAGCTAAGTAAATACTTCTATTGAAGTAACATCAAATGGTTATTTAGATAACAAACATTTGTCGGTGAATTTCAACTTCAAATAGCCAAAGGACAAATTTAACAAAATTTCTACTTTAAGATGAAATTTCGGTGCGTGTCGACGAGCTTCATGAAAGGAAAATGAGTTTAATCAAGGTCAAATAATTGAATTTTTCATCTTCAGACATTTTCACATCTTTTTTATGCTTTTCCATCGTTTCACCTCGCGGGATTTCAAATAATGTTTAAAAATTCATAAATCTCGAGAATATTTGTTAGAAACAATTTTTCTCATAATTTTTCTTTGCTTTTCATTAATATCAACTCCAAATGGTACACACGACTCAGTTATAGATTATTTTGAGATTCTCTTTGCTTCTTCATTCAAACCGAAGCTTAGCAAATATTTGCCGAGTTCTTAAAACATAATAATGTAAACAATAAATGAGAAAATATTTACATTAAATTTTTTTACAACATGTTTATATGCTTTTTATATTCGCCCTGTAACGAATGGAGATCTCGTTAGACTTTAGAAGAGACCTTGTATGACTCAATTGTTTTAGAAAACTTGTTGACTTAGTGGCCCAATTAAGTAAATGTTTGTCTGTGCATTATGAAGGTATTTAAGAGGGAAAGAGAGAGAAAAATGCGATGAATCTAATTAACAAAACATTTAAGAGTCGTTATCAAGAAATTATTTTCTTTTCTCATAAAAGAAGATCAGCGATGATAACCGAGAGAAGCAACAGAAGAAAAGAAAATTTTCATAAATATTGCAAAACGCATGCCCGTTATCACTTCATATTTGTTTCGGTTGGTATCAATGGAGCTGTTCATTTTTATCTCACTCGACATCATGTAAAAAAACCACCGGAAAGACTTTGAATGGAAAACATTGTGCTTTAACACTTGCACAACTTTTGCGACATCAACAACGAGTGAAAATGAATTTGTGATTGTGTTTTGTCCTTTTCACGCTCAAATGGTTTGGTCACGTGCGCAACTAAAGCGAAATCCATTAACGAAATTAAATTTCAACCTGTGTTGCACATAAGAATGAAATACAAAAAGCGATAGAATTAAATTGTCCTTGTTCCGATATTCTTTAACTTTCAAACTTTTAAAAGACTTTGACTCGAATTTCCTCTGGTTTGAGGTGTCGTCTTACCCGTAAAACGATGCACACTCAACAAAGAGGTCGACAAGGTGAAAAATCTCCGGAAACGACAAGGGTGAACGTAACAGTAATGCACGTGGCAGAAATTATTATCCATCCGAAGACTAATGAATTGCTTTCTGCTTGAACCATCTGGCGTGCTTTAAAGGTTTTCGTTTGTTTTTTACTGAAAACCATAAAACATTGTTTTAGTCATCGTTGTTGATGGATGAAGGGAGAGTTTGAAGGACGAGCTCTAAAGCATAGAATTGATTCTCATTTGATACACAAATTATTCGGTAATGTAAGAAACAACTCAACTTCCTTTATCTGTCAAGGAAATATGAAATTAACACCGAAAATATTTTAAAGGTATTTGCGATGAATTCAAGTTCAATTTCTAACTTCACAAACTCAATTTCATTCCATTTAATGTTGAAGGAAATGTACAAACGCAATAAAATTCTTCCTTCCTTCCTTCCTTTCTCAATGTAATGAGTGCGTGTCACGGGATGCAAATTAAAACACCAGAATGTCAGCCCTTTCGTTTAGAATCCGATTCCGTTTTTCCGCATTTTACTTTTCTGCTGTTGAATGCATGAAGCACCACAGTACTGACCCATCAGCATAAATTTACATGAAATTATCAGCAATTCATGTGCGTATCAAATTTCAGAGTATTATTAGAACACGAAGTCATAGAATTGTTATCATTACAGCATATGCTTTGCAATATCTAGTTACGAACGAGAAATTTTAATTTCAATGCGTTCAAAAATTATAACTTTGAATTTCTTCGTCAATTAAGCTATTGATTGATTGCTCCCAATCATATCTTTGTTCTAATTATTTGAATAAATGAAAAATATTTAAACAGATGTTCTTGTAGTAATGATAAGCTGATTTAAACAATGAGTGGCTGAGGTAACAAAGCGCCTTTCCATTATCCGTCGAATTATAATGAGAGACTTCTGGAAAAACATTTTTATTCAATCAAATGAGACGATAACAAAAGGCAAACAATGTGTTCAGTTGCACTCACAAACATTCTTTCTTCATTATGGTCTGCTTTGAGTTCCACACCCTCGACAAGTAGAACAAAATGTTAAAGTCATTGGGAAATCGAATTTCAACTAATCATTTGAAAAATTGAGAAATCATAAAAAAGATTCGCGGTTGAATTATTTTATTTCATGGTTGACTGATTGATATCGACTTTGACTCTGCGATAAATCAGGTGAGAATGAATTAAACGCATCTGTCTAAAGGCATTCGCCATCGTCACTCACTGATGACTTGCAGACTTTCTACTTCATATAACAAATTGATAACATTTGCGTTTGCTTTTGTGGGCTAGTAGTGCTTGCTTCCATTCAATTTCTTTTTTAATTTACAAAATGCTTTCATAAGCGGCGCAGAATTAAGTAAATTGTATGCATGCACGGTTGCAGAAGGTGGAAACAGATGTTTTATAGTTCAATTCTCTTAGATATTTTATCCTTTTCTGTTTCTGGTTTATAGCAGAGAATGTAAAAATTCATCATAAACTTTGTTTCCTCGAACATTAGCGCTTTATGTATGGATTTTTCATGAATAAATATTTGAAACCCAAAAGATTTCTCCAATGTATCATTTTCAAGTGCTGCAAGAGAAACTTAACATGTAATAAACATTTTATGCTTCTACTAAATATCTACATCTTGAAGTCATGCTGTGCTTAAATGTCACCCACGAGTCGTTTATTCGGCATTATTTATTGCATCATACCCAGTTTTAACTTGTTCACTCAGCCCCACGACTTCACGAAAGTCAACCGATAAAGACATGTAGGGTGCAAAGTGAAGTGAATATGACGATAAATGTGCGAAAAAGTTTATCAAAACGATTCCTGTGCGGCAATAAAAGAATGAAATAATAAAATTAGATATTATTTTATTCGATTTTTGTCGAGAGTTGTTCTTGTTGGTTGGGATGAGAATTCAACTATGAATTTAGGGTTTAATTGAATTGAGTTTTATATCTACCAGCACCCTTCGACCCTCATTTGAATTTTATTCGCCCTAATCGTAGACCTTTTCTTGCCACTCTGCTCTCAATATTTATTGAAAAGAAAATTCGCTTCAAGAAAATTGCTTGCTTGTTGTAAGTTTTTCTTTTTTCTGTTAAATGGCAAGCGTCTTAGGTTAGTTTTTCCTTTGCCCATGAGTGCTTATGCTTCTTCTAACTTATTTATTCATTCAACGAGAACCATTTTTGAAGCGATGTTTAGTAACAGAAGAAAAAATTTATACATAAACGAGAACCGAATGAGAGACGAGTAGCACATAAAATGTTGATAAATGACAAAAAGCACTTAGATCGAATTGAAAAATATTTCACACAAGCAGCTTAAATAAATAGAAATTGGAAGAGTTTTTCCTTCGCCTTTTTTCTGATGTGTTGCGCTCATTTGCCTTTTTTTCTTGCATTCTCCTGAAATTCATTTCCAAATTATGTAAATGCATATTGGTTGAATTGCAATTTGGTTAAGCTAGTTGTTGTTTGGGTTCTAATAATGAGTTAATAACTTTACGAATTTTACGTTCAATGCAACCACCAATGTATTGTAATGTCAGGAATGGATTTGCTGGGAAGTCAAGTAAAAGTGCTTTGCTGCTTTCTCAACGTAATCAGAGATTTAACAGTCATATGTCTTCACTAATTGACGTTTGATGTGGGAACAACCGAATCCTTATCACAGACTCATTTTGTAGGATGTAAAGTGAACAACAATAAATCGGAGAATCTTCCAACTTGACACTTCTCCGCTTCTTTATCCAAGCGATGATAAATGAAGGTTTCTAAAATGACAAACTCCAAAGCATCTCGTGATTTATTGTCAGCCTTGCTCATTCTTCATCCTCATCTACAATAGTGTGAGTACATTTCACCCACGCAATCATTTATGAAACACAAAAAATATCAGATCAGAGAATAAGAATCCTTACGATAATTATTTGGTTTGAAATTTGAGTGCCAGTCGCGTGCATTTAAAATAACAGGGCTTGTCATCTTTTGCTTAAGTCGTGTGCAACATCAGCTGGTATTCACTTTTATTGAATTAAAATTTTGCTTCTTTTATGGATTCTCTTTTATGATCTCATGGGATTTCTTTTAGTTTATTTGGGTGAATGCAGAGAAAGATTTAAAAGAATTCAACTTTCTTCTTGTTGTCAAAATTGATTATCACGACGATTTGTTTTCCACTTCTTCATATTTTCTATAAAATTCAGTGCGGGATAACTCGAGGACATCAAAGATATTCGATATAAAAATTTTGTGCAAATATTTTTATTGCAACACGTGCTATGAACAATCGTAACGCCGGTTAACAACAACGAGTCTGGTTAAACCTTAATTATTAGGTTTATTGTTGCGCTTTGTTGAGCAAGAGTCGGCAAACATCATTATGGAATTATTTATGATTCTTTCCAAAGTTGGAAAATTGATTCCGCCAAGTGTAAGTTTCGATTAATCCTCCAGTGATTTGTCGACAGAGGTTTCCAGCAGTGAAGATTTTATCAACAAAGGGTGCATGTACACGTGACGTGGATAATTCAATTTTCATACAAAATACATTTACCAATGTCAGAAATATTTTTCTCTTAAATATCCGCATCAAAACTGAGGGCTTAATGTTGGCAAAATTTCTGAAAACATTTCAACTCACACGCTTCAAACACATAATTTTTCCGATTTCTAGCATCATGTTTTTAAAATTGTTTGCTTTTACATTGTTATAAGTTGCTCTTATGTAGCAGAATCACGCCTTTGGCAAGTGCTATTGAATGTTCTTTTATGTTGTTAATGTAATCCTTAATTACTATTGAAGTCTCAACAAACTTCAACGCTGACACCGAGAGAAAAGACGACGAAAAAAAATGAAAATTTATTTGCAATCTTAATTTCCATTAATGAAATTATCAAACTCTAAGAATATCGTAACTTTATATAATTAAAACCGGATGGAAAAGCGTTGAGAAGAAGCTTGCATAAACATTTTAAGAAATTTATTGTCTCCATTTTGTAAAGTGAATTTGTGTGGTGGAATACTTTGAACGTTTTTCCTTCACCAAGACACTTTTTTCCTCCCCAAATGAAATTTCCGCAATTTTCCCTTTTCTTTGTGTGTAAGACATTTTATTTCTTTAGTCAGAGTCGATTTTAGACATGAAAATATAAAGAATTGAAAATGGGGGAAGTTTGCTGTTGAAAATTATAATTTCGTAGTAAGCTAGTCAATTAAAAATAAATAAATATTTAGTGCGTTAATTTTATTTATTTGAAAATATTCAAAATTTCCCTGAAAAAGTTTTTCATTTCATTTCGTTATAAATTAAAAAAAAGTTTTCTGTTCTTCTTAAAAATGTCTGAAAATATTTTCAGCTTTCACATTTTTCAACAATTTCATTTCCATGTAGAATTTTGCAGATGTTGAATGAAGTTAAAAGAAGTAAAAGTCTGCTTAATGTTCAAGATAAACTTTATGTTTAATGTATGACAGAGATTTTTCTTTTCTTGCTTTCATCCCTCAGCAACTGAATAATTGATAAAGAATTTTGTCTTGCTTTTATTCTTCTTTCATTGCAAAAAAGCGTTGGCGTTGATTTTCAACAATTTCTAATATTTAACTTAAACTTTTAAGCAGCTTATAAAGTTTGAAGCCTTCAACAAACATTTCGTTGCTGGTGTGAAATTTTCTCTTGGAAGTTAATCAATAGTTTGACAAAAGTAAAGTTTGATTCATTCATGAATTCGAAAACTGTACGAGTTGTGTTTGTGAGAATAGAAAGAAGTTGAAAACAAAGAAAATAAAAATTCACAAAGCCCCACAACGACAAATGACATTCGAGTCGTAAAAAATCGCATCAAATAAAAATAAAGTTCACTCGCTTGCGCGCTTTTCAACTTTTTTTTGCCATAAAAGTGTACATAAAATATCGCAATAACAATTGTGAAAAGCCAAAAAAACGTAAAACATTTGCCGCTTTAATGGATGTAAATCATATGGAAAATTTTTATGGCGATTCGTCGGCCGTGGGTGTATTCGTTTGTTCATGTTTTGTTTTGCAATAGAGTCAGCAAGGAGAAAAGTATCATAAAAACTTTTCTCTCATGAATTACGTGCCATCAATGTTCATACATTTTATTAAATATCTTGACTTCCCGGGAAGCATTAGGAACTTTACTGAATACATGAATAACTCACAGAAGTAAAAGGAAAAGGTCTGGGAAATGGAAAAGGAAAAAGGCTTTTGATGATATCGCATTTTGTTCATCATATTTTGCTGACCAAATTTTCTTTTGAGTTTCATTTGTATTCAACGTCGTAAATAATCAACTTACTTTGATGAATCAAAATCCTAAACATGCCGAAACAACAAACAAGAGTCCAGCATTTTCTATTGCTTAATATTGTCATCATAATCAAAATTTCATCCCTTAATCATTTGACTTTGAGTCTGTCATGTTCGCATCTTACGACTTTAGTATTCATTTCAAGTTTTCCTACCTTTATCTTCAATGAAACTAATTTTTTTGGCTTGTCACATGTAAGACTGTTTATATTTTGTTTTCTGTTGATTGTAATATTCCGAATATGACGATGATTCGATCCATTTACCAGCTCCCATTTGTCGCATTTCAAGAAAAACTTCTCTCCATGAGCAAAGCATTGAAGAAGAAAAAAGAAACAGAAAGTGAAAATATTCCATTTTTTCCTTTTTATTATGTGCCTTTTAATGAAATGAAAAGGAAAAGGCAAGGCAGGTAGCAGAGAAATATCTTCAATGCGTACATATGAAATAGCTTTTCTTGCCTTTGCTGTTGCTGATTATTTATGTAAACTAAAGGTTGTTGGCAAGGCGCATAATACATGCGGCAAGTGAAGTTGGAGAAAAAGGAAGAAAGACGAGAGAAATCATGAATTTTCGTCGGAAAATTAAATGGAAAGCAACATTTCTACCCATTTTGATCCCTTTTGTTGGCATCAAAGATTCATCGGTTTACACAGAGGATTCACAAACTCAAGACAAACTTCTTTTTATTTAAGAATTCAACTGACATTCTGTTAAATTATTCAAAAACTGTCCTGAGCAACTGATACGTTCAAAAGAAACTTTAAAGCTTCTTTTGAAGATTTTCCACTCATTTATTTTGTATATCTGTAAACTGTTGAAATCATGATAGTTTTACTAAACTTTCTCAAAACAAAAAAAACGTTGTTGTGTGATTGAAGAAGATTTTCGAGAATTAATTCTAAGTTAAAGTTTAAGCCATGTCAAACCTCGCCTTAGTTTAATAATTTGCGGGGTGAATATGAAAGATGGAAAATATTTTTCTCTCCTACACTTATTATTTCGTATTTCCAATCCTTTAAAAAAAGCATAAAAACAGAGCAGAGTGAAAAAGAAGTTTATCATGGGATAATAACTTCTACAATGTGTTGAACGTGTATGAAAAGAAATAAAGAAAGCAAATGTTGTTGTTAAAGGGGATGATTCAAATGAAGGATAAAAACTATAATTTAATATTTTTATTTCGGATTATTCCGTTGACTGATGTTGAGATTGCATGGTTCCGATATTTAATCCGATATGTAACTAGTGGAAAATATTCGGTAATTGATATTTGTGGGATTTTTCATTAAAAAATATTCAATTAAACAAGTTTCTGGTTCTAATCGTTGTGGGTGAACGAAACAAAAAAATATTCTGCGGTTTGTGTTGTCAAGTAATGTGAGATGAAACACGAGTTTTGAAGGGGGAAGGAAGGAATATTAGGCCAATTGATTTGCGGTGGGAAACCGCATTTATCAATTTTTTTATTAGATACTTTTGGTTCCGTCGATGTTGAAGACATAAAACACTTGGAGATTTTATCTAATTGTAATAAATTCATAAAATGCTCTCATTTTGCCTTCAAATTTAACACTCACAGTTTGAATGGCTAGTAGTGGCTTCTTCCCGCTCGTGAATTAATGTCTGGAAATCCCTTGGAAGCCATTAGAACTCAGAAGATCTGCCACACATTTATTCGCACTTATTTTTCATTTGTCACCCATAATCTCTCTTTCTTTCAATGGTTCGTTGCCATTGCTATGGATTCAGTTGCGTTTCATGAGCTTAAAAAATAATAAAAATAAAGTGTCATCGTTTACTGCTGTTGAGAGAATTCGCTTTTATGTCGGCAGAAAATGTAACGAAACCATTTATCCACTGTCTGTTACTCTGCTCTTTGTTTCTACGTCCCTATAAACATACGATATGCAAGCATTTTCCGCACCTATAAACACCCCTCGAGAGGGATTAGCAGCAGATAAGAATGTTCAAGAGAATTCAAAGCATTCTTTTAATCCCTTATTTGAGATCTCAACGAAGAGCATTAACTTTGAAATTGCTAAAAGAAACATGCCATAATCCTATTGAGTGGGATGAAGCTGACAAATATGAAAGAATAAAAAGAAATGAAAATTTTATTTTCATATAAAAAGCATAAAAATATCTTGACAACGAAATTTTCTTGTTACCGAAATATTTATTAATCTCATTCCTCTATCTTGGAAGCGTAAAATTTGTTGGAATACATAAATTTGTCGCCATATGTTGCATATTTCTATATAAATCGACTGCTAAATGTCAACAAATTTTCATAGTGATCATAAACGGGATAATTGCATCTTTCAGTCAATTACATCCATTAAGGCATTAGAACTGAGATTTTTTAGTAGCTTGCTTGTGAGAAAGATGAAAGTTTTTTTATGTATCAACCCTCAAGCATTATTCACTTCGTTTATTCATTAGATGAGAACTGAGCAGCCAGCAGAGGGGAGTTAAAGAGTTGTGAACATTTTGATAAATAGTTCATAGAAGTAAACTTGAACATCGAATTTTCATAATTTATTCAAAACCTTTTGAAGCAAGTGAAATTTAAATGATTTTTAATAAAGTTAATGTCATCACACTTGCTTTCATTAAATAAAATTTCCAGTCAGAAAACATAAACTGTCGTAAAGTTATTTATTGATATTTATCGAAGCTTAATAATGCTTAAAGTTAATGGCAGACTGTGATTTAAGGGATCAACAGAACCACCATGAAAGACAAATCAGAGATTAAAAGAAGAAAATCTAACTCGACATTTAGTGAAATTTATAATCTCTAAGTTTTCTTTCTTTTTCCAAGCTCTGAATTTATAAACACGAATGGAGATACTTTATTTAGTTCACTTTGGCCGAAGCTCACAGCACATAAAATTAATATCAAAAATTCATGCAATTCAAGCATGAAAATAAAGAACGAGCGAGCGCCAAGAACATAAAAGTAAGAATCTCAGAATAATAAAGATAAATGGGTCAAGAGAAAGAAATGAAAGTGGCGTGGAAAAAGAGTTTTATTTTACTTCTTTTTTTAGTTAGATATGTGTGGCATGCTTTCATGAAGTTTTCATGTGAGAAAATTTCTCTGTGTGTTCTTTTTTTATTTAATGACAAAATTTATGACTTTCAAAACTTCTTTTTTTTCCTTAAAAGTTTTTTGTCTTCACATTTTGCAATTCTCAAAGCATCAACTCTTTAACAATTTTTTTCAATTTAGAGATTAACTTGTTAGTCACACCGATTTACCATGCAATTATTCTAATAGACTTCCTTAATAGATTGTATCAATAAATGTTTGTAGTTTTTATCCCACTCGTACTTACAGTACGTCGTCACCCTAAACACGTTTTTTGTGTTCTTTTAAAACTTTTAAACATACAAAAAAAAAGAAATAAATAAAACAAACGATCGGATGACGGGAAAGAAGTTTAATGTCATTGAAAACGAGTAGAGGGAAGAATGACATAAGGGATGATAAATTTTTATTGCAAACAAAAGTGTAGTGATCAGAAATTCATACTCATAAAGTCAGAAGGAAATATGCAAAACCAGTCCCTAGCGATTCTTAAACGCTATGAATAAATTTTCTTGTAAAACGTTGAGAGTCGATGAGGTGACAAAAGAATTTGCATATATTCAGTTTCAGTTCATATCGTGGATTTAGCTGCTTCTTACAATCGTCAATGAACATGGAAATTCGAAGGTTACATTTAATAGTTTGATGATAAATAAAAAAGCATTAAAGGCGATTGCAACAAAGTATTTATTGTCATTTGCTCGAAATCTACTTAATGCATTCTAATGGAAATTCATCACGAGGGCGAGCGATCAATGGATATATTTAGAACATTAACTTAATGAGACCCGATGGACAAGTGCTTTCATTTAGAATAGAGAAGCGACTGATACTGTTCGATAAAGTTTAATCATGCGGGACCATTAAAACGTAATTTTTGACTACTTTTTAAAGTGGAACATGATAGAGATCTCTTTATTTTTAAATTCTCGTGATATGAAGACATTACTTAGATCTTTCAACAGATGGTGGAAGGTTTTTTGACTTTTTGTCAAATCAAAATTTACTTCTAAAACAAACAATAACGAACATCAAATGAAACCTAAATGAATTAAGTAAATACTTCGCATTTCAATGAAGCCACTCATGATCTCATGTCGTCTCATTTTACCCTCGCTATTTATCCAATTCATACTTCAAGTTGAGATGATATGTTTGTGTGTAAACAATTAAAATAATTTTCTGTAAATCATCAAATACTTAGGGAGAAAGGTTTAAAGTGAACTTGAAGAGTATTTTAACTGGAACTAATGGAAGGTCTATCAAAACATAATTCAATGCACCAATTTTCTGAGCTGGTGTCAAAAGGTGTAGATTTATTGTCATTTCTTTTTTGTCGAAGCATTCAATTCAGTTTAACAATGTCATCATTCAATGCACCATCTGTTATCACCATGCGAGTAAAGCACTTGAACCACTTAACAATTGTTTATGATCCGAATCGGACCATGAACAATGTACAAGATCAGTTTAGGTCCTTTGTATGATGTCGAAATATTGAGAAGCAAATTCATTTATTGATCCGATTTGATAGAATTAGTTTGTGAGTCGACAAAATATTAATTTAATGATTGAAGTCATTCTTAGTATTTAGTGACGTTTTATCCTCCCTCGCAAAAAAGAAACGAAAACAAATCTCTTGAATGTCATGCTGTCTTATTTATACACCATAAATAGAATGGCTTTTCAATTTTTCATTCAATACATGCCACGAATTAATCAACAGTCGTGATTTTTAAGGGCGAAATGTATTTCGAATTCAAAAGAATCCATCGCTCTTTAATGCTTTTCATCGTTTCAACATACCAAAAAATGTAAATGATTTAATGTTGAAAAGGAATCCTCGCATATACATAAAAGTTTCGAAAGAGTCAATGATATACGTTTAAAGTCCCATATGGATGGAAAGAATAATAAAAGCCATTAAAGAAGAAACGCAAAAAGAAGGCGCAATATAAAACAAAAGTTATGTGTGTAATATACAAATTATATTGCTCACTCTCACTTTATGTATACACACAAGACATGAATAATGTCTTGAAGCTAGAAATATTCCATGTATCATCATGCTCGTTCCATCAAACCAACCCCCTATAGACGTGAAAACCCTCAAACAGAGAAAAAAATCGGATAAAAAACCAGAACAAAAATACAATGAAGAAAGAAAAAAGTAAACAGAAATTTATCATGTCATATTAAATGCGCACCATATTCATAACATATTCCCTCCATGGATCTCCATGAATTTAGCAGCGAAAAAAAAGCAGAAATTTTTTAAAGAAAAAATGTGCTTAATAAATAATAGCGAAAGCTGAAAGCACATACATTGCTATATGTTTGAATAAATATTTAGATAAATAGACTGTCTATGATACATAAATACACATTTTCCAACTCATAATGTTTCTTCGTTTTCATTTTAGTTTGAATGTCGGGAAGAATACAATGGGAAACCTAGGGTAGAGAATGCTTTTGCACCACATAGTGCGAATGCGCATTGAAAAGTGGAGGGGAAATGTTTGCGAGTTGAAGAAGTGTTAGTGTACGAGAGCAACATTGGAAATTTGTTGTACTAAAAATGTTCTAAGAAAACTCAGATGTTGGGAAGTAGATCACTGTGAAATTTGAATACACATTATGTGATGCACTCGATTACATATCCCTGAACATGTTTGAGCCCTTGAAAGTGTTTGTAAGCTCGCATAGTTATATGCAATGAACACTCCCTTCAAATTTATCAAGTCCCACCAATCGTATGATGGTATTGAGTGTAATATTCTCAAATGTTCATAAAGTTAGGAAAAAGTATTCAAGAGTTTTTGTTCTTTTCGTCGTCGAGTCCAATATTATCATTATGTGGAACAATAAATTCAGTTGATAGTTGAAAATTGATCGACGCGGATGGCAAACGAGTGTCATAATAAAATTATTAAAGTTCGCTTGACCCATTCCACTCGTTGGTTTCGAATTTATTTTTATGGTTGAGACGTGTTTTAGCTGATTTGGCTCCTTTAATGATACATACTAAAATATTAAAGACTTTATTCTTCGAGTAGATAAAACTCTTTTAGGTATTTTTAATAAGTTCATGAGTGAACAAAGTTTGAATATTTTATCGCATTCATGTTGTGATTTGTATTGGAAAATTGTGACAACATAAAACTTAAATGAGTTTATGTACAGTGGAAAATTATGATTTTATTATTAATAGAAACATTCTGGATACCACATAGATAATCAATAATTTATGGAGTTTTTCTCGAATTGTTTCGTGTGTTAAGCAGAAACTGTGAATGCATAAACTGTTGGAAGTTCATTTTATGATGGATTTATGGTTGTCTATGTTGAGGAATAAACATTAACATTGGGTGAAATAACCATCCATTATCAAATCGAAAGCAAACGAAAACTCGCTCAAATCGTGGAGTGAGATGGAAAATGAGGTTGTTTGTGAATAGCGTAGTAAATTGAAAATAAGGCAGACCATAAATACAAGTCAGTCTTCATATAAATTTTACGACTTTTATGCCACATTTTGCATACACATATCTCACATCATAAAAGCGGAAAAAAGCATTGAAAGCATTCGCCGTTTAGTGTAAAAGCCTTTTTCTCCCTTAAGTATCAAATCGCTTTCGGAACATTCGCAAACAAATAATGGATATACTTACGTTAATGACCAACAATAATTGTGATATATTGCGTAAAAGTCCAAGCTCTGATTATCGCGTTCCACTAATCAATTTAGATGATTTACCAAAGTTCTTATTAGGTAAGATTAACATTGTTTATTTCTTCTTCCGACGGCAAATAAAAAGTTTTATTCCTTTCCCTTACATCGATAAATGTGATCTCAATCGATAAGCAATAAATCTTTTACTTATTATTATATTTTCCTTCCTTTCAAATTAACAGCAACAATTCCTAAATGCGGTGGCTGTCATGAATTTATATTGGATCGATTCATTCTTAAAGTATCTGATCGGACATGGCATGCTAAATGTTTACAATGTAACGACTGTCACGCACAACTCAATGAGAAATGCTTTATTCGTAATGGTCAATTATTCTGTAAGGACGACTTTTTCAAGTGAGTAACTAAATTGTTTCATAAATATTTTTACCGAAAACTGACAGGAAGAGATCAAAGAACATTCAATTTGTTATGAAATATTGAAGAGTCATGTGGTTTCAACCTTTTTCTTCCACTTCTACTGGTCAAACAGGCGTTACGGTACAAAATGTGCATCTTGTGATCTCGGCATTCCACCCACGCAAGTGGTGAGACGCGCCCAAGAAAATGTTTACCATCTGCAATGTTTTGCTTGTTCGCTATGTTCACGACAGCTCAATACAGGCGATGAATTCTATTTAATGGAAGATCGAAAGCTTGTCTGTAAACCAGATTATGAAGCAGCGAAAGCGAAAGGTAAAAGATGATCCACCTTTAAATTACTTAGAGATTATTCAAGCTTATTTTTCCCTTAGGACTTTACTTATCTGATGGATCACTTGATGGCGAAGGATCTAACAAACGACCACGTACAACAATAACAGCCAAACAATTAGAAACTCTCAAAAGTGCTTACAATAGTAGCCCAAAGCCAGCACGTCATGTGCGGGAACAATTGTCACAAGATACCGGACTCGATATGCGAGTTGTGCAAGTTTGGTTTCAGAATCGGTATGGTAAATTACTTTTCAATCTCTCATCTTGCAAACTAAAACTGAATTTTCTTCTTCCCATTTTTGTTATTTTTTTATTTTTATTTAAAACCAAAGCCGCGCAAAAGAAAAACGACTTAAAAAGGATGCAGGCAGAACGAGATGGAGTCAATATTTCAGATCTATGAAAGGTGGATCATCACCAAGTAAACTTCTAGACAAAGATGATATGAAAGTCGATTTGGATAGTTTTAGTCATCATGGTGCGTTGGAAAATGTTTTATGATTTTAATTTGTGGCATTTAATTAAATTTTATTTGATTTAGATTTAAGTAACGATAGTTATAGCACCGTCAATATGGGTTTGGACGATGGAGCTTCACCACATAGTGGTCGTGGTTCATACATTCATAGCAGCGCAAGTCCACCACCTTATCTTTCTAGTCATTCCCCAAATCCAATGGGACAAGGTCATTTCTCATATGCCGACAACATTGTTTACACACCGCTTGGTGAGTTGAGTCGTTAACTTCTTCTCATACTTAATTTCCATCGTGAAATTGTTGAGCAAATGAAAATGAAAATAAAATAAATACAAAAATTGTAGACAACCCAGTGAGTTCAATGTTGCATCTGCAGGGAAGCACAGTAAGTGACTTAAGCAACGATTCTAGTCCCGCTCATGGCTATCCCGATTTTCCCCCATCTCCCGACTCATGGCTAGGCAATGAAAATAATAGCGCAGCTACATCGACACCCAACAATAATTCCACAACAAATAATCAATCTTCATCACATTACTGATATCTAGGCTAGATGGATTAGAAGTATTATCATCGTAATAATAAAAAAAGACAACAGCAAAAAGCAGAAGCAGAGTAGAATTGAATAGATGTACACGTACACAGTAAAGTGGCGCACCTTCAGAGACAAACAATGAAGCGATGGTTATTTTGTACTTGTCAGTTGTTGTTTCGAGTTTGACCAATATTTATGTAAAAACAGCACACAATGCTTCATGCATTACAATAATTTACTATTGCCACTGTATTTTTGTATTTGTCGAATATGTTCATCGGTCTACAACCTACAACCAAAAAAGGAAAAGTCGGAAAAAGGATTGAAATGTGAATTAGATGATGAAGTTTGTAAGCTGAAATAATTTTCAATGCGAACCCTTAAAAGAATTCCATTCATATGAAACTATTAAAATGTTTGTTTGTTTTCATATTTATGATGATATGTAACAACAAACAACTCAAACAAAGCTCGAATAACATAATTTGAAAGGAGAAGGCTAAAAAAAGAAGAAAAAAAACTTTCTCATTAAAGTTTCAAAACTCGAAGAGATGAAAATTCGAATTAGAATAGTTAAGGATAGTTTGAGAAAGAGGCAGGGAAAGTGGATAACTTGAAAGGGTAATCGTCCATAAAAAACTCTCTTCACAATCGTTCCTTCATGATGTTTAAAGAGCTTTCAATAAAATAACAGAAGCAGCATTCTGGAAAGCATTTTAATGATATTTTACAGTATTATCGACTAGTTTATTTGCTGTGAAAACTCCAATGAAAATTGACGTTAAAACGCCAAAGCAAGTAGAAATTGATTGAATTGATTGTACATAAATGCATTGAGTTTTTAATGTCCGACATCCTAAACAGAAAAGTTTATTAAACCACAAAATGAATTTAATAATTTAATTTATTGAAAATGATATGAAAACCTGTACAAAACTAAGTGTTATTGATCAATATTATGATTTCTAAAGACAAACTCATTATAATTCTTTTAAATATTATTAAATTGTAATAGTCAATGAACATTGGTACCAAAATTATGTGCAAACTAAATTCGCCATTATCTATCATTTTATGGAACGATTAAACTTGTATCTAGTCCATTAAAATAAATTATAATAAAATTATAATTGAAATGAAATTGTCAATCATTATTTTACTTCTTGAGTTATTAATAATTTTAATTTAAAGTTCTGTCGTTGCCACACCCCAATACTGTTGAAGTCTGCTCTCATTCTCAGGAATCGCTTCGACTTCTTCCAAAGCTGGTCGTTCCGGAATCATCCCAAAATCATATTCAAGATTGTAAGGCATAAGTCTTTGAACTGAACCAAAATAAGCTGCATGAGGCCCACCAGACATTGGTGTCAATCGATTTGGAGCGCCGGTAGGATTCAATCGAATTGGTTTGAAGAAGCTTTGCGTTCCTGGTTGAAATGATCGAGCACTGCCAAAGTGCTTTGACAGAAATGCATTCTGATGTTGAAGCTCAACAGGTTGGTTGATGGTGCTGAGATTCGATGACGAGCTTGAAATTTGTGGATTCAACATTGATGCATAATGTGCGAAGTTTCCTTTGGGGTCAAGATTATTTGTGATGATTGGAGTTGAAGTAGATAAAGATCTAACATGTTTACGATTCAAATTCGATTGATTTCGTTTCGTGAAAGCTTTCGAAATTGTATTTAATTCCTTGTCGAATAGCAGTTGAGTGTTTTGCTCCAACATATATTCCCAACATTTGAACTGCTCTTCACTCATCGCTGAATCAGATTCTCCATTTTCTCTTTCCTTTTCTTCTTCTATTCTCGCTCGAACTGCCCTCGCTATTCCATTTCTAATGTTTTTCTTATCAGTACCAAGAATTGACTTCGATGCTGCACTTCCAATAGTTGACATATTTCCATCTTTTGATTTAGTTGCTTGTGATTGATTATCGCTGATTGACGCTTGATCGCTTTGTCCACTGGGCGATGACCTATCACTTCTCGATGATGGATGTCTCGTAAATTGTCCTCCATTTCCAGAATGACAACAATTGTTGTTCGTTTCACAACAACATCCACATTTACAAAAGCCTGAAATAACACTTCCGTTCGGCTTCTTTCGAATTGTGTGACGCAATTCTCGCATGAGGAAGTCGATGTCAGTTCCAAGATTATTAAACTTCACTACAATGATACTCAAATTCTCTTCAGCACCATAACTTTGGGCAACGTCTTGAAGTCTCTTCGCTGCTAGCAAAACATTTTCTTCCTTTCTAATTTCTGCGAGAACATCATTTGATGTCATGACATCCCAAAGTTTTTTATTAGCCATCACTAAATATTCATCTTGATCACCAAGAACAATTTCATTGCATTCAGGGTCAGGAACGATGATGGGATAATTAAAACTGCATCCAATTTTTGTTTTGCCATTTCCAGATGTCAACTTCATGACATTGTTTTGTCGGATAAGAATTGCGCTTCCTTCACCAACAGTTGCCGTTCTCAACACAAATTTCCTTCCATTTGTCTGATATGCGTGATAAGCTGTTGACTCTGTCGACACTTTTGTTCGAGAGATATGACAAAGTGTTGCAGTAACTCCCGATTTTTGGCCTTGTTGCTTCAACTCTCGATGTGCTGACAATAATGTGTACTTCATATAATCATTTGCAGTTTCTTTAACTGTTCGTTCTTCAAGTAAAATCTTTGGAATTGCTTTTACAAGTATGTTTGGTAATGCATTATTTGACTCGCCATCAAACAAACCAAAAAGTCCTTCAGCATTGCAAAATCCGGGAAGGCGAAGTTGTGAAATGTAAAGTTTGTTTGCATTACCAGCAGTCTCAGAAAATCCAACTTTCCACGGAGGTTCAATGTCGGAATTCTCGTTGAAATTATTTGGAGCTGTTGGAAGTGTCGGACGATTTTTTCCAGAAACATCAACGAGACTCATTGGACGTTGTGATCGACAACTTTGCAATTGTTTTGCATCAACTTGAAGTTGATTGTTACAAGACAAATCAAGGAACTGAAGTTTCTTAGGAACAAGAATTGTGAGATTAATTTTATCAAGTTGATTATGTGCTAAATCAAGAACACGTAAAGATAAAATCTTTGACAGCACAGGCGTCGATTGAAGTTGATTCGAATGAACCCGAAGCACTCGTAAATTGCGAAGATTTGAAAGATTGTCTGGTAAATGTTGCAAGTTGTTTCCAGAAATGTTTAATTCTTCTAACTCCGGCCAATTACTTATGCAACTTTCTGGGAAAGTCGTTAATCGATTGTACGATAAATGCAGAATTCGTAGACCTGACAAATATAACAAAGTATCCAAAACTCTATCATTGAGACAATTGTTAGTCGCATAAAGTCGCTCCAACTGACTTCGATTCCCATCAATTATTGGTAATGTCAATAACTTATTACTGGAAACGTTCAGCAGAATCAAATTCTCGCATGCTGTGAAGAAAAATTCTGGCAAATCTTCAATTTGATTGCCATTAATGTACAACTCCTGAAGTGGAAGTAATTTCTTTGGCATCGCTGGTAATTTAGTCAATCGATTGGAAGCCAATTGTATTGTGTGCAACATTCCATTTTCATTCTGAAAGAGATTTTCTGGCAACGTTACGATGTTATTGTTGTTTGCATAAAGTGTTCTCAATTGATGACAACCATGCAGCCAGTCGGGAACTTCGGTAAGAAGATTATGACTAACATCAATATGTCGGATATTTTTTGGCAGAGGTTTCACAATCAACCGGCATAAATCTAAAAGATAAAGTTCACATTTGTATGAAATTCTGTACTGAATGAAAGGAACTTACTGTTGTTAGATGCAACGAGAGAATTCAACACACGACCATTAAGTGTCAGTTCTTTGATTTGATTCTTGCAACATTGAATGCTTTCAATTTTGTCCAATGCTGATAAGTCAAGGAATTCAATTGAATTTTCACTCATATCCAATTGTGTCAGATACTAAAAAGTGTGTGAAAATTATTTTTAGAAGCAAATTTCAATAAAATTTTGACTTACCGTGAAGTTTCCTAAAATAATATTTCCCTTCAGATGATTCGCCCTTAAATTAAGTTTTTTCAATGGTGGATTGCTGAAATCAATTCTTGGATTATTTTCTTCAACTTTCATTCCATTTCTTGTCCCATCAAATTGGTTTTTTTGTGTATAATCCTGAAATATGTTTCGATACTTTAAGTAAAAGTTGATGAAGAAAATCGTTCACACTTTCAACTCACCACGCTATTATTAAACCTCATCGCGACCATAAAATCTGGAAGTTTACTGATCTTGTTATTGGATACGGAAATACTTTTCAAGTTCCTTAAAAGCTTCAAAGTGTTTGGTAAAGACGTCAACAAATTATCGTCAATTCTCAACTCTTCCAATCTATAAAATGAAAAACTTATTTCAACAAATATTTCCAATAAACATTTTAAGAAGAAAGTCGCTGATGGAGGGAGAAACTGATGCTTCATTGAAAGTGAAAATTTGTATAAATTATAAATGGAAAATCCATATAAAGTACGAGTAAATATATGAAAGTTATTGTTTTGTATTCAAAAGTTTCACTTTCAATGTTGAGATGCAGTAAAATTTATTTAAATTTTATCCAAATCTTTGAAGCATCGTTTAACTTGTGATTATTCTAAGAAAATGAAGAAAAAGAAACTTCAAGTCAAGTTAGTTTGAACTAATTTTAATACAATGTCGTTTCATGTGTGACTCATCATCTTCACACACTTCTCATTATAATTTCATTTCAACAAAACAATAAAATCTTACGATAAATTCAAAAAGCGATCAGAATCTTCGAATGTACAAAAGACTTAAAGTGAGGTAATTTTATTTGAAATGCCCCGAATATTTTAATTGTTGCATAATGAAACGTACGTATGTACGTCGGTGAATCAAGCATCAGTAAGTTTAAATTAATGCGAAATGCTTGTGCTCTGTAAGCGGTTCCAGGTCGATGATTTTGATGTATAAACTTTAAAATATGTGAGTTATTAAAGTTTCATGGTAGGAACTTCACATGGAACGTTATACATTAATAAGTGGAGGAATTGAAAGTTTAGATGTTATCGATGAATTGGAGATGTTGAAACCTCAAACTTATAGTTAGCACTTTTGCATATTTAACTGTTGGATGAATTACTGAAACTTCCTTAAGCACAACACAAAAAACATCTTTCAACACTTTTACAAACAAAGACAATTGAAATTGCTAAGCACATTTTAAGTTTTAGACTTTAGAATAGTTTGGAATGTTAAAGGAAACTCTTTTCCACTTCCTTTCTCATTCATGATGATTCACTTGCAGCAATGTTAAGCAAACATTTGACTTTGAACTTCAATTTTGCTCTACAGGTTAACAACAGACGCTGCAGGGTTCGTAAACAAACTTATGTTTAATTCATTAATCAGAAAATTACTTAAGCAACAATTCTTGACTGGCGTTCTTCTCGGCTTTTAATTGCACACTGAAATGAAATTTTCGATTTTGCTTGCTTGAAGTACTCAACAATAAGAAAAGCTTTGAGTGTAAAATTTGAGTTCTTGAAATTAATTCTTGTAAAATTAAATTAGTTAAGGTTATACATATGAGATGCCTTCAACTTTGTGTGTCTATGATTTGTTGCTTTCTTTTAAAATCTTTTCAAAAGTTTTAAAAGCTTTAAACATTTATGATTTGTTGATAAAGTTATCAAAAGCTTGCACATTTTATTGCTGTTTAAATCACTCACAGCCTTCATCATTCGTTCACACTTTTCAAATACCAAACCAATAATTAAATAGAACGTTAAGCTAAATAATTCGCAATTAACCTTGCCATTTGTTGCTTCTGATGAAACTCATCCATAAAAAAAAGTAATAAAAAAATTGAAAAATCTCGATAAAAACGAACAACCCACAAATCGTGCACGAAAATTGAAGTCGTTTAACATAAAAAGAGAAAAAAAATTAGACCCAAAATATGTTGTTATGGAAAATGGGAATTTATGTTGTATTGAAATTATTCAAGTGGAAAAAGTAAATATTGTTGTTTCTTGTCGATTTCAAATTCTTTCATCATCTAAAATGAAAAATAAAACTCGCGCAAAAATGAATGTTAGTTAGGCAATCAAAGTGAAGTCGTGCGATGCGCTTTACTACTCACTTTTCCAATTTAAATACATTGTCCGGAAGTCTTTCGATTTCATTCTTTGAAATGTCAAGCACTGAGAGGTTCAAAATATCCATGAGTTGATCAGGAAATCTCTTGAAGTGATTTGCAGCAATACGAAGCACGCGAAGCTTTTTAAAATCGGTCAATGCTTTAAGTGCAGAATCCTGAAGTTTATTATTGTCGGCAAATAATTCTTCAACCAAATGGCTTGATTGTAGAATAATCTCCGGCATGATGTGTAATCCTGAACCTGAAATGTCCATACGACGAGGCTCAGAGACTTCCGTTGTTGCCTATAAAGAAAGGTAAAATCTTCTTTATCTTCATACGAACATATAACTGCACTTTGAGAGACAATTTTTCTGAACTTTTAGAGCATAGAAAGATTCAGTCATTTATTTTAATCGGCTTCACACAGATGTTACTTTATGTCAACGAAAACTCACATCGAACTCATGAAAATCATTTAAATTTTCATCGTAAAACTCTTCTTCAATGTTATGTCCATTCATTTCATATTCTCGTATTGTCCCCAACACTCCACGCTTGCCATAAAAATTATTTAATTCAGGCTCTAATGAGTCCATTTCGATTTCTTCATTAAACTTTACACGACCACGTTGCAACCGTAAACTCATTGCGTTAGAATCCTGATTAATCAACAAGTTTAAATTGTTCGTGACCATCTTCATTCGTTTATTTCACATTCTTTCGAAATGTCTTAAATCATAATTAAGCTCGATAATTAATGGTTGCAATGACACAACATAAACTTTCATAAAACCGATCTAATCACTTTGACAAAATCTTCAAGACTAAACATGAGACGAAGCGAAGAAAATCTTGAATGAAATGTTCACAAATACATTTGTCGGTTCTTAAACAACAATAATAAAAATCTTACTGAGTAGTCGTAAATCTTATGTTTGAAATTGGAAAATTGTCGTAAATCTTTGTTTGTGATGGTTTGAAGCTTTAGCTGTATGAAATTTATGGTACGGTTTCTGTTATTTATCTGTTAACGAAGTGATATTGAGTCATAGGGCTTAAAGCTTTTAAATTGTTAAAGTTTTCATCTCAGCACATATGGAAATGGAAATTCTTTCTGTTCAACTCCCCTGTCATCTCAATTAAACCAGCATATCGTGTAATTTCGCTTCGATATGCTTTGATGCATTTCGGTATGTCATTTTATAACACTATTTCCTTTAGACAAAGATATTGTTAACAATTATTAAAAGTCTTCAAGACATGTCACGCTGAAGAAACGCTTATAAAAATTATCTTAGACCTTGAACGTGACATTATTTTCTAACAGTTCCTTTTAGTGTTTACTCATTCTACTTGAACCTACAAAGTTCACACGCTATGTGAAACTCATTGATCACTGATACTTTCAAATCTTCTTTCTCCAAATCATTTCTTCTGACTTTGAAAAATTGTTTTATTGAAATGAAGTTAATTAAGCTCATGGATTGATCATTTATGGTTGAGAAGGAAATTTGTAAATAAGCAACAGTGAGTAGATATTATGTAAAAGAGAAGGCAGATGTAGGTGAAATCATCGTCAGAATTTCCTGTCATGCTTGAAAGCATCGCTGAGGCATTGAATTAAATTAAAATCTGATTAAAACAAAAACACAAAAAGTGTTTAAAAGAAAGAGTAAAAATGCTAAAAAGTGAAGTACGCTATGGACGACGACATGTAAAGCATATGAAATGATGAATCTTATGAAATAAAGTGAAAACACCCCGATGATGTTCAACGTCCATCATGCACGTCGTGGTTTGTTTTGTTTCTGTTTTTCGCTTTCGCTTTTCTTTCATTTTAGTTTTGTAGATTTTTCCGTTGCTTAATTAATCAGACATTTCTAGTTTGCCTTGCATAATCTTTAAGAAAATTTCTCTTTAAGATCGTTAAACTTCTTCCGTTAGGTTCAACTACAAAAATGCTCCAATTATTTGAAAGTCGATCATTGGAAAAAAAGTTTTCTTTTGTTTATGTGTCAGAGTGCATCAGTGATCTTCTGACATTTATTTCAAATTGCATTTAAATTGTCGCATTAAAGAGTGCATCAGAATTACCTCCATCAACCAATTGGACCATAAATCGCGTTCCCAAGAGTCTTCAAAGCCAAGGAATAACACAACTTCTTTGTCTAGAGCGGTGCCATTTGAGCAAACACTTAAATTGCTGCTGTTAATGTTGCTGTGACCCAAGCTGCTCAAATTACTGTTTCCACTACTTGAATTGCTATTCAAGCATTCAACACTTTTGTTTCGACTCAAATTTTCTGTCGTATTATTGAGACTATCACTAAGTTTTGGCACAATTTTAATGATCAATCGATTGTAAACGGGCGTATGTTCAAATATTTCCGATCCTGATAATTCATAAGTTTCAGGCATTAAACCTTGATTTGCGGGATAAATAATAAGTTTAGTTCCAATGATTGCGATGGTTCGACGTTTCCATTGAGGGAAGACTAATCCTTTCAAAAGTTCAACATTTCCACACTTTGTTGCACCTTTACACAAAGGAATGTCGATCGGTCCAATATGAAATCTTATCAAGAACTTCAAATCTGGATCAATTCCTAATCGTGATCGTCTCGATTCATCTAAATATCCAAGTTTCTTAAGGAATTCTTCCTGAACCAGAAATGGATGTTCAATGTCGTCTAACCGACGTGATTTCTCACCACCAACTTGAACCCAAAGCGTGTAATCAGCTGGAAGTCCCATGTCTTTGACAATCTCAATTGTCGTTGAATTCGCGTAACACATCACCATCCGATTTGGATCTTCACACGAATATTCCGAGCGATCTGGGCCACAATAAATTCGAATCCAACCGCTAGCATTCCATGATGGTGATGATGATTTCGACGATGGTAAAACTGACGCAACGTTTGTCTGATTCAGTTGATTGATTTTAATTTTTACATCGCCGGAATTTAACATGACTTTGCTGGTATTTATTCCATTAATGTTGATGTTGTTAATGTCGCTTTTCCCTTCATCAACGTTTAAATTGTTTTTATCGTGTTCTGAAATGATGTTTTTGCTGGCGACCGTGGTTGTGTTCTTACCCGTCGTGTACTTATTCACGATATTTATTTTTATGTTATGATTTTGATCTAAATTCGGTGATTCCGTAATCGAATTCTTCTTCATATTTTCATTGTTCTTATTATTGACTTTCGTCACGCTGCTTCCGATCGATTTGTTAGGGACTGGAATACTGCTAGCACCATTGTTGATATTGTTTATTGCTATAGCATTAAATTTATGAGCTCGCTGCTTAACTGTTCGAATACTGCCACCATAAAATTGGCTGTTGCTAATTTTCACCATCTCCTGAGGCTTCGTTTGCTGCGAGTTAATATTTAATATTTCCATTTTCTGTGTTTTAAAAAGTGTGCTTTTCATTGTTACACCATTAAACTGTTTCATTTCACATTTAATTTCTTCATTTTTAACTTATTAAACTCACGGTTTTAATTGAAAGAAGAAAATATTTTGAAATATTTATCTTCGTTATCTTTTAAGCTTTTCTCACTTGTAAAATTTCCTCACTTTTACCACAACTTGTGGATATTTTCTTTTTATTAAATTTATGTGTTTCGTTTCATGAGTTTTGATAATGTTTAACGAAAGTTGTTATAAGAAAGTTTCTTTAAATTCCATGCTAAACTTTTCATATTCAATCGTCATTTAAATATTTCCTTTGGAAAATTCTCGACAATCAATTCAAACTTTCAATGTCCATCAGAATAAATAATTCTCACACTCGCATTTTTGCGAATCACTTGTTACTATTTCAAAGCCCATCCGAAAACTAAAACAATTCATTAAATAAAAACCTTTTTTCATTTGAAATTGCCTCTCGTAACACGTTGTTAAACAAAAACACAAGAAAAATAAAATTGAACGAAAAAAGGCAACAATAAAAATACGAAAATTAATTCATACAACGATGGGTCGACTGTAGAGTAGAAAGAGAGTGAATCGTTGTGCTTCACCTGTACGTGTTCAGTTGTATCTCAATATTTTCCAACTTTCCTCTTGATCATCGTCCCCGAAGCCCGTCGTTGCTATCTTTGTGTTGGTTGTCCATTCGTTTGTATTTTCATTTCGTTGCACACCGCCGCAGCCGATGGAAGAGGGTCCGAAAAATTAATTTATTCATGGTTTGGTTTTTATATTGTAATTTTTTTTAGCGTAAAGTTGATTCATGGAATCGAAGTTAGACGTTATTCAATGTTCTGGAATTTGGTTAGATATAGAAAGACAAAATTCGATGCAAGCAGCATGGGATGTTGAAGAACAATATGCGTGAAGACGTTGGCGACAAAAACTTTAATTTTAACACGCTTCGTTAGATCGATTTTGCTTTCAATATCAAATAATTCTTTGGCTTACCAACATCATCTAAATGAAAGATGATACAGCAGGTGGAGCGGAAGCGCATTCACTACTTAATTGGGCAGTGAGTCATTGCAAAAATATTATTTGGCGGTAAACATGTCGAGTCGTCGATTCACTGAGTTCAACGAAGCATGAGAAGAAGTTAAATAACAAAAATTCCAAAATCCAATTTTTTTTTGTGATTGAAAATGATGGCAAGAATAAAATGAAGTTATGAAGCTGCAGTAAATAAAAATCCGACACAAAAATTAACTTATTTAGATATCTTTTCATTGTCCGAGAATATTTTTTAATCTAAATAATTTATTATCACTCTTCAAAATTAATTGAAAAGAACTTTACGATCACCTCTTAAAAATGTTTTTATCCGACATAAAAATTGTTAACTTTATTTAAAAATAACTTTTTTCATCAAATGAGTCATGAAATTGTTAGCAAAACTTCCACAAAATCGTCTCAAGAAGTTGAGTTTTTCTTGAAAAATCTTTCGTAAATATAACTTTCAACTAGTAGAAATGGCGCTTCGAAAGTTAAGTACAAAAATGAAGCAATAGCCAAAGTGATGAGAACTTCACCCCAAAACATGTGCATCTGGAAATATAAAATAATTTCGTGCATAAATGTTGATGACTTCAGTTTGAAAAAAGATTTTAATTTACCACTGTGATGAAGTCAAAATGCAGCGTTTGCTTTTGTGGAAGAATTGAAATCATTTCATAAATTCGATGAGTCAAATAAATGCTTAAACCCATTCTTCCAATTGGTTTCCATTGCTTCAGAGAGAGAAACCATCTGATGATTCCACCACTGCCATTCTGACATCCAAAAATTATCCATCCAATGGCAAATCCCCAGAAGATTCTGAAAGTTGACATGAAAAGTGCGTTTCCAGAGTTTGTTATGTTTCGTTCGTTGTCTACAAGAAACGGATAAGCTCCGAGTTGAATGGCTAACAAAGCGGAAATGGAAGAAATCCAAAAACTGACATTAATCGCTTTGTTAATTTTAAACTTCCTGTTCCTTGTGTAATAAAGCAAGTAGCCAAACATCATTCCTACCAGCCAAACACCTTCAATCAACATTCAATTAATTCTCAATAATTAAATTCTTTTAAATCTCTCACTGACCATAACGTGTGTGAGTTGGAAAGTAATAAACTTTATCATAAAGTTTCACAACTTCAGGAGGCCTTAGAAGGAAATTTTAATTAATTTTGATACTTTAAATCTGTTTTGAAATCTTACATTGTCCCAAACCATTGGCGTCAGTTCATATTTTAAGACAGTAGCAAAGACGCACCATTGATTCAAGAAAATCAAGAACGGAAAGATCCAAAAACATTTCTTCCATCCCCATTTCCATATTGGATAAATCAACAATGGACTTATGATGTACATTTGGAAGTCTACAGATAAATACCAAGAGAAATCAAGACATTGCTCGTTAGCTACAGCATAGTTTTGAACGTGCAAAAGTGCCCAGTACCAGTAAGTTCTACAATGAGGTTCATTCTTCTCAAAATCAAACAAAGGACCAAAAGCCATAAATTTCATTAATGAAACAGTAAATAGTATCAGTGCAGCCAAGACTGGCGTGTAACGTAAGTAACGATGAAGATACATTCTGCCAATATTTACAGTTTTCCTGAAAGTTATTCTAATGAATCAAAATTTTCTTCTTAAACAAACAATTTCTTCTCACTTATCTAGAGCATTCAAAAATGAAATTGTCACTAATAGACCACCCATGACAAAGAACGTATCGACCCAAATATGAAATATTGCGAGAAAAACAGACGGAATTGTAGCCATGAATTGACCAAAATCTTTTCCATTCATATAAGAAACTGCCAGTTGATTGAATGTTCTATGACCAACGATGATCCACAATAGAGAGACGGCACGGAGACCATTAAGGCAATCAATTGAATGTCTTGATTTGCTTTCTGTCATGTCAAAAAGTCTCTCGCCATTTGTGTACATTGAAAAAGCGATGAAAAGCTCGTGCGGTTCTTTCTTTTGACTTCGTTGTCTAATATCGTAAAGTGTGCTTGCAATTAGAAGCAATCCAAAAATGGAGAAAATTATTCTAAAAATAATTATTGATTAGTAAATGTTATCGAATTGAGATTCAGAAAACTCACATGGCTACAATATCAACAACTGTTAATGATAAGGAATCGTTTGTTTTACAAGTGGTGTTAATTACAACCATATCAGCATGCGATAAGATTTGATTAGAAAACTCGGCTACTTTCTTAACAGAACAAGAAGCTGGCAAACAAATTCCATGATTCATCGAGAGTTGATGCTTTCTAAAAAGGTCGCCACTGAAAAATGAAATAAATTTATTTGTTAACCAGTTGATAAAGTTCAATCATTGACTCACACTTCATTCCAATCAAAAAGATTGTCGCCTGCTGACACATTTGAATCAGTTTTGGCATTGAAAGAGATCATACAATGTTGACCTTGAAGAGTATCAAAATCTTTTAAATTCTTTCTGAACTTAACGCACGCTGTGAAGTGTCCAATATTTTGAAAGTTATTTTGTAATAATCCTGATGGAATTTTTGCCCACGTGTCAAACACTGAAATATTTTGTAAATATTTATATAAAGCAGGTAAATATTTATTAAATTTTATTTTCTATTTTACTAGTTACCGCCCACTCATCTCTTGAGTCTAGCGCATTGATGAATTCATTTAATTCATTCTGACATTTCTGATCACTTTCACTTTCTACTGTCAGCTTAACAGCCTTCAACTGATTAATGTTGTTAACAAAACAAGAAATATGAGCAAATTTAAAATAAAATAAAAGAACAGCAACAAGCACAATTCTCTCAAGCATTTCAACAGCTTAAATGAATTACCAATAACCAAATGATTTACGAGTTGTTTAAAAGGAAATCAAGAAAAAAAAATTGTAGTTTTTTATCAATTTTGATAAAGCAATAAATGAATTTCATTCTCAAATATCTGAGCAGCGTGAAGTTGCAGAAATTTATCAAATATAATTGACTCGCTTGACTTTATCAACTTGTTGAGAATATTTTTTCTCTTTTTTAATTCTTTGAATATCAACAACATTTTCTTTCAATCCATAAATGTGATTTCGCTGCAAAATAGTGATTCATGACGCAATTCCTAGAAAGAAAACAATAAAAGTTCTGTTTGTTTAATGTTTCATTCATCAAATGGAATATTAATTATGAACAAGAAAAAATCATTCATCATGAACAACATTCAGATCATTCAATCCATTACACATTTCGCATAGCTTCAAAGCCAGCCCAGCGCTTGTCACTCGATAAATTATTTTAATTCTCGCAAAAAAAAGCACAATCGATGCTAATCTCTCTAGGAATCAATTAATTTTCATTTCCTTTAAGTTTCTTTGATCGATGGATTTGAAGATTGATTCTGAAACAGCATACAAAAATTCGAAATTCCATAGCGTGACGAAAAATATTTAAATATCTTTAAGTAAATCGCCAAAACGTGATATCTAAGATTTCTTTTTTGTTTCTTCATTCCCACACCCATTTCGACATGTGCGTTGTTCTCAGTTTGGTGTATGAAAAGGCAGCGACTTTTTAATCCAAATGTAAGCCAACTGGATCAGCGCATCAATAAATGTTTTATTTTTGTGTTTTTCTGCTAAATGATGGTCAATTTTGACACTTCCATTGAGATTGAATTTATTTACTGATTTTTGTTCTTTTAAAGTTTTTGTTGACTGTTTAATTTTTCTTTTTCACTACAATGTTACATGATTGTTGACAATGTTCAAGAAATTTGTCTCGAATGTGCTTATAAAGTTCTTTTTATCTTTTGAAGCTGTTCACACCAATCACTTAACAATATTAAGTGATTAAAACTTATTTATATTTTCAGAGATTTATTTAAAGCACCCAAAAGAATTCTTTGGAAAATTTTTAAACAAAAATTGAAGTTCAAAGCACGTTGGAACATTAAAAACTTTTAAAACTTCTATCGTATTTTTCTTTTATTTTCTTGGACCAAGTCAGCAATACAAATGATGATTTTTGTTAATTTAATTTACTTAATCGTGAATTTTTCCTTGACAATTGCACGTTGCTAGGCAATTACGTCGTCTTTGTATCCCTTCTGTAGTGTTCGTTTGACAAAGCCATCCAGGCCATGTTTTATGAAGTTCCCGACAATTTGCCCAAAGATCAGCTGCATTGCAGGAATTCAAGCACAATCTGTAATGATCAAGGATTAACTAAATTTGTATGAAATCGATTGAAGACATCAGAAACCTAATCTTTTTCGAGTGACAAGAATGTTGACAGCTTGAACATGGCTTTCCTTTCTTATATGGAGTTCCCAATTGTTCGACGCGATTGCCACTGCACAAAAGAAAGAAGAAAATTATTTAAAACAATCTCAAATCAATTAATAAGATTTATTAATGGAAATGACCTTCAATAACATGCAGAATATTCAAATAAAATCGACAAATTCAACAACTTCACTTACATCGGACAATAGTTGCAAACATAATTGAAGAATGGCTTATTTCGAGGTCCACCGCGTGCACATTTCGCTAATCCACACCCAACTTTATGTGATGACGCCCAAATCATCTGCGTGTAATGTCCGATGACATTTAAATCATTTCGATGCGATCCATATGTAAAGTTATTGCGCTCCAAAAACCACGTTCGAAGTGCAAACAGCCTGAAAAGATTTTAATCGACAATGGATCAGTCAGTTTGTGGGGATCATAACAGATGTGCGGTTTTTAATACTAATTTATATCAAAGAAATGAAATAAACTTTATGAATAATAGTTGCGCAAAAATCGTACTTCAAGATCATCAATTCCCTTTCAGTTCATAAAATGTATCTTTAAGACTTATAATTGTTATTAAAATATATTTGAAAACTGAACTTCAGTTTGCATTTATGCAGTATCTAAATAATAATATGAATCTTGACAAACAAAGCCAAACACCAACGACTCCTGAATGAAATGAAAACAATAATAAAAATATTTTTATCGCCTCGTAAAGTCTGTTCCTTTTAAATTGACTTTAAACTGCGGTAATAGCCACAATACAGTCTCGAAGAAAGATTTCAGTTTCACTTAAAAAACTTTACAAATAAAGAATTGGCTTTGTGCAACTTTTTTTTTTCTTCTTTGTATCTTGTGGAGGCGCGTAGAAAATTATTTTTCAAACTAGCCGCGATATCTGTGATCACTGACAAAATTCTCTCATCAACTAAATGGTTTAACTTACCACGGAACTTTGTGTGTTGATACGAAAATATTTTGACCACAAGCACCATAATTAGGTATCCAACGACCTTTTGGAGTGTCGTGTGTCAGGAGTTGACATTTGTTTGCCCATTTCTGTGCTGCCTTGGCAGCTCCTTGATGCCAGCGCTAAATTAAAAATAAAAACTAAATTTGTCAAGTTTTCTTTAGACAATTTTTCGAGAAATATCGTATGATAAAAAAATCTGTGCGTGGGTGTTTATGATGGAAATATCTTGCTTGAAAATTAGTAGCAGATAATTTGATTACATAAATCATTCTGTGAATGGTTCATTAAACTTTCAATCGCTTCTCCAATGTCATTTCTCATGCTCTGAAAAAAGCGAATCTTCTTCCAACATCAGATCATTCTAAAGGTTATTGAGTGATGATAAATGTAAATACAATAAGATTAGCATGGATATTTGGATAACATTGACAATAACGCCAATGCTATTCAGACAAGTGAACTGAACATTCATTTAAATATTTTAACACCTGAAAACGTGATCGAATTCACGTTTGACTTAAATCAGTTATAAAATGTAATAAAATGTCTAGATCATCAGTTTCTATCACCCACACTTATAATTGATCCCTTATATGTAGTTAGAACCCTATGAGAAACTAGAAATATTTGGAAACATCTAATCTGTCTTACCATCGATAACATATTAGCAGCTGGTGGTGAAACCTTTGTCCTAAAGAAATCGTGTAACATCACCAGACGTCGTTGTACTTTTCTATTGCGTGGTGAAATGAATCGAAACTGAAGCTTGTCGCCATAAAGTCTCGGAACTGTAAAAACCATAAAGACCGATCAAGATGAAATAACATGATTTCTCTCTCTCACTCTCTCTCTTTTTCTTCATGTCATTCGCGTGGTAATTTAAAAGATAATTTATGATCGTTAAGCAACACACATCACAAAGTAGATTTCGTTCGACATTTAATACAAATCTGGTCCAGACGGAAAGACTACAAATTGAAATGTTTTTTGTCTAATGAAATTCAAAGAGACAGAAACAAATTAAAGCAAAAATTGAAAACCATCACGAGACTTTTTGTCTTTAAACAATTTTTTTTCTTTGTTTTCTCTCGATTTTGTTTTGACAAAAAATTTTTTTCGCACATGTGGAAAGAAAATGCGAGAAAAAAGATTTTCATGTGCGAATTTAACTTCTTTCAATTTCATTTGAATGTTCACGTGTGATAAGATTGTCGATGACGATGTCAATGTGTCATAAATATTGAAAATTAACCACACAAATGAAAAATATTCAACTTACGTCTGTCATATTTCCAACTGCTTGTGATTTCTAAACTAAGCACCAAAATGCAGGCCATCCACATAAACTTCACCATCTCTTATTTTGATTATCAATTAAACTGTAAAAATATTCTTGTTATTTCATTTCGTTAATTGAAAATAAATCATGGTCTCATCAGTAGAGCGCGAACATTATAACGCTTCGTTAAAAAGATAATTGAAAATATTTAAGTGACGAGAATTGAATCAACTTTGACCGAAGTGTATGTAAAGCGAGATAATGATTGATAGACACTTTTTTATTGATAAAATATTTTACTTGGTTGACGGTTGAGTGTCTCGTAGGTTCTAATTTAAAAAGAAACGCGAAATCAAATTTTATTTTGCATTAAAACAAATTATGACATCATCAATAGAAGTCTAACTAAAGATGTCAGTCCACGGTCAATTATCGTCTGGTGTCGATAGATCGATTTAAGAAAAAAGTCATTTATTGTTCACGAAGACGACTACAAATGTATTGGGCGCGAAATTAAATAATTCTGCCTCCGGCATGATCGTAAATTCATTTGAATTCCTAAATATCAAGCCGAACAAAATTCTTATTTTTCTTCAAAAGTTTACGTAGATAATTTAAGTTTTCTCATTCATTTGGGGCGGCGAGAGATTAATCAAGATATTTGCCGGCTTCTGGTTTGCACTTCCAACGCTGTTGGAATGATTTTTATCTAATTTCATTCATGTTTGCAGTGGGTTGGTGATGATAAACTCACCTAATATTAAACAAAAAAAAAGAAATCACACAAGAAAAAACTGGTGAACTACAAACACTGTTTCGGTGATCGTTAATTTTATTTATTTATTTTTCTTTTCCTTTTTTTCCGTAACAAAGTCGCTAATCACACAAAAATGTCTCGCGAAATTAAATCATTTAATTTTTTGTTTGTTTTCTCTTGAGTATATTCTGAGCATTAAAAAAGATCTATTCAGACACTTTCAATTTAGTGGTTTTAGCGCTAGACAAATATTTGGGGACATATCTTTAACTCGCGTGGTCAGTTTTTACTTCACCAGTCAGTGTGAGAATATCTATCGATTACTTGAGAATCCTTTAAATTTTTGTATTTTTTAGAAGAACGAACCACTTTATGAGACTTCGAAGCAAATGAACAATATCATTGAATTCTTTTCAAATATTTGACGAGACTGAAAAACCATTAAAAACCATCAAAGTTAGACGCCAGATGAAATTTGCTATTCCACTTGATTTTATTATTAAATATTCCTCTGGCATTAGTTAATTGACTTCAAGTGCAACACAATAAATTCACAGAAGCTCATCAATTCATGCACTTCCCCACTTAATTAATTTTCGATTTATGTAAAAAATTTTCGCAGATCACTAAAACTTCCAATTATTTAAATTTAGTAATTAATTTTCATCAGAAAAATATTTTTAGACACAATAAATCATAAAGATAAATTTTGATTCGAATTTTTCAATAAAAAATAAAATTTCCAGGAGAAAACTCGCAACGATCATTCAAATGCAACAGTTTAATTCTGACTGGACTGATGCTGGGACTTGAAATTCTCTTCAACCAAATGATCACGAGAATTTATGAGAGTTTAAAGCACATCAACTTTTGCCAAGGCATTGTTGTGTGCGATCTGCGTAATCAAGCGAGAGCTAAAGAAAATTATTTGAGAGAATTCGAGACTGAAGAGCGATCAACGAACTTCAATAAGCTTTCTCGTAGTCAACTTTGTTATCAACGAAAAGATTTCAAAAATTTTGATAAGAATTATCGCAAAATAAATTGACAATGTTTAGATACATGAAAGTTATTCGTAATCAAAGAAAATGCTATTAGTCAGTTGTGTTATCACATTTAAAGCTCTCAAAGCTTGATAAATACATTTCACGTCATTCTATCTCTTTCTTGCGGTGTTCTTACACGAACATATGGAATATTACTCAAAACGCTCAGATATTTTATGAGAATTATTATTGAATATTAGCGGGCCTTGTTACGTTAGTAAACAAGATCATCATCAGGTCTCATAATCAGGCACTCTAAAGAATGTTACAACCGTCCGTTAATCAGTTTATTCAATGTCGGTATCAGTATGCCAACCGGGTATCAGAATAGTATAAAACAAGCGAATATTGCTCTCCAAAATCAGTTTCTATTTAGACTTGGGCGAGTTAACAACTAAAAGAAATAAATGAATAAATTCTTCTTCTAAGAACATTCAGAAATTTAATCAAAAAGTGAATATTCTTTAAGTTATTCATCATTGACATTTAAGGAAAATTTCAAGAAATAATTAAAAAATAAAAATAGATAGCCAAAAGAGATTCACTTACAATTTAGGAACTTTCTTATCTTGCACGTTTTGATAAGAAACTTCCTAAATTGTAAATGAAACTTTTATTTGATTGCTTGAAAAAATTAAACGATAATTATTTTTTCATTAACTTAAATTCTGATAAAATTTTTGCTATTTATTTACCTCCAATTTATTCGTATATCAGTTTGAACTTCGAGATTCAACAAATCATTTCGCAATGTTGTCAAAGGATTCTGTTGATGTCAGCACTGAATATGGCACAATACGTGGCTGTAAAAAAGTTTCAGTTCTTGGCCGAAATTACTTCAACTTTCAAAGAATTCCGTACATGAAGCCACCAGTTGGTAAATTAAGATTTGTGGACCCTCAGGAACCTGAAAAGTGGACAGAACCACTCGATTGTACAGAACATGGGCCAGCATTCTGTAATGTAAACTTTTTAACAGAACAGTATGAAGGAGAACTTGATTCGATGCATGTTAATGTCTACACTGTTGACATGGATCCAAAGAAACCTCTTCCAGTGATGGTGTGGGTGAGATTCGTTCCTTCTTATCTAAATTATCTCAATTCGATTACTTCAAGGATTACTTAATTATTGTTTCATAAAAAGATTCACGGAGGTGGAGTTTACACTGGAAATGCGAGAACTGAATTGACCAGTCCTGACTATTTAATGCAAAAAGATGTTGTTCTGGTGACGTTCCATTATCGGATGGGTGTTTTTGGGTTTCTAAGTCTTGACGATCCTTCTCTAAATATTCCTGGAAACGCCCAATTCCGTGATCATGTATTTGCTTTGAAATGGATTAAAAGAAACATCGGAAGGTTTGGCGGAGATGCAAATAATGTGACAGTGTTTGGCGAGAGTTGGGGCGGTGGATCAACGAGCTATCACATGATATCAAAACAATCAAAAAATCTTTTTCATCGTGGAATTTTAATGTCTGGAACAGCTTTGAATGGAGTTTATTCTCTTATTCCACGACGTGATTGGGCTTTACGATTATGTCATCAACTTGGATATGATGGTTCCAGTGATGATAAAAGTTTATTGGAATTTCTCGAGAATGCTGACGAGAAAGAAATCATTTTGGCTTCGCCGAAGATTATGACAGACAAGGAACAGGAAGAAGAAGGTTTGATCGTTCCATTTGGACCGTGTATTGAACCTTACGACAATGGAAATGCTTTCATTACTGATCACATTATTAAGATGGCTAAAAATTGTTGGGGAAATGAAATTGACATCATGATTGGAGCAACAAGTAATGAATTGGGAGCTCTCGATATGATGGCAAATGTTGAAAGTGAATTTAAAAAATACATAAACTTCAAGCGTTACATTCCTTTTGACTTAGGAATTGATGTGGATGATCCTAAACGATCAGAATATGCAGAAAGAATCATGAGAAATTATTATGGTTTGTTGCAACCATCGCGGAGTAATTTGGAAGGCACCATGCGAGCTGGCAATGACTTTGCTTTATGGCATCCAATTCATCGTATCGTTAAGTCACGTGAGAATTCTGGCAAAGGTGGAAAATCTTTCGTTTATCGATTTGATTTCAATTCGGAGAATAATTTCTTCAAAAAGTTAGCAAAAGCCGAGGATACAAGTCGTGAAGCATTTCATGGTGATGATGTCGGTTACATTTTTAAAATGGATTTGCTTGGACCAACACCGCCAGTTGACTCCGTTGGCTTTGCAGGAATTCGATTAATGCTTTCAACTTTAACTGAATTTGCACGAACTGGAAATCCAAATGTGAATGAATTTGAAAATGTCGAGTGGCTGCCAGCAACTTTCGATGTCCCTTTGAAAGGACTCAACATTAACGAGAAACAATCTAAATTTATTGTTTTACCAGAAGCCACAACAGTTCATGCTTTAGATAAACTTTACCACGAACAAAAGAAAGATTTGTATTGAATTTTGAATTTATTGTTTAATAAAATAATTGCTTAGCAATGACGTTGCCACGCAAAACTAAATTTTGTTTATTTCTCTACTTCAAGAAACTTTAATATTAATTATTGAAAATGTCATTTGGAGATGTTAATTCGATTCATTTGCTTAAAAAACTTTTCGATAAATGTCAACGTGATGATGGAAACTCATCTGATTCTGAAGTTGAAGGCGATTTTCCATCAACTTCAGCAACTTTTGGACCGGGAAACATCAAACCAAAGAAAAGCGAAATAAAGAAAACATTGGGAAATTCTTTGATGAAAAAAATTGATCCGGAATCAACAGCAGGGTCGTTGGAAGAATGGGAGAAGCAACAAGACGAGGATAAAGAAATTCTTGATTCTCGTAAGCAACCTAAATATGAGATTGTCTTCAAGCAAGCTGTCACAACAGAAGATTTGTTCCTCCAAATGGGACTTAAAACGCCAGCAACTGCAAGCTGCGAAGACATGATCGTAGAAGTCAAACTCGATGAAGAATCTGTTGGTATCGATGGAATGGACTTAAATGTTGAAACTCAATCAATTCTTCTTCAAACGCCAGTTTATCGTTTGTCATTAGCATTGCCACACAAAGTTGAACCAAAAAAGAGTCGAGCTGAGTTTGATAAAGACAAGAAAATTCTCAAACTTACACTTCGTTTGAATCGCGAATATGATTTTGTCAATTTCTAATCAAACTTTTTAAAAAAATAAAATTCCACACAAATTTGGATTTTCAAAATTTTATTTCGGTTTGAAATTTCTTCGAACTTTAACTTTACTAACATTTGCTTTTGGGTGGCTTAATAATTTCTTGACATTTTTCCACAGGTTTACCTCCTTCTAAAGAAGAGGAAAATACAAATTTTAATTCACAGTTGACGTGACTTTCAGAAACAGAAATTTATAAGTTTTTAAGATTTTAAAATTATCCTGGAGATGGAATTGGTTGCTGTTGTTGATGTTGTCAAAAGATGTTTTACTTACGGGCTGATGCAAGAGCTCCCAAGTCAGCGATGCATTTGTTGAGTGTCTGTGTCTCTTGATCAGGTGTGATAGATTTTAAAACGTTGTCAATCACCCATTGGACTTGCCATTTCTGCGAGATGCGACGATCAATGTTTTGTCGTTCAACTTGGTAATCCAAACGACGTTTGACTTCATTGTATACAGTCATAGCACGTTCACGATAAGCAGCTTCAAGTTGAAGTGCAACATTTTCTTTCTTCGCATCGAAGAGAAGCATTTGTCCCTCAGCACGCCATTGCTCCTTCTTTTCACTTTCAATGGCATCAGTTAAGGACTTCTCTTCTTCTATACGACCGGCATTACAGTCATCTTCTACTTTCTAAAACGAATAAAAAGATTCTTCAAAATCTGATGAGACTTTCTCATTGTTTCATGTAATTTACATCAATTTCTTTGTCCAAATATTCAGCAAGAGCAGGACCGAATTTCTTAGTGGCGAAGAAGACCATAATGAACAATGATATACCGGAATAAAATTCATGCTCCATCACAAATATTTCTTTTGAACATAAATATGTTATCAATCCTGTACCAAAGACGTAAGGTCCAGTGACACCTGTTTTTGGGTAAAAGAATTGAAACCTAAAAGTAACAAAATTTAATTAAACGTGTTTTTCTCAAAATGTTTATTATTTTTTAATATACCATTCGTCTGGAATGAATCCCATGCGAACCTTGCCACCATATTCAGCACGAACCGGTCGTTCAAAGCCTGGAAGAGGTGTTGTGGATGTTCCTCGGATCAAGGCTAAAGCTGCTGGTCGTTGGGCTGAAATTAGAATATTCCAATGATGTTATTATTTAGAATAGCTAGTAATGTTTCATTGGCGACTATTTCGACAAGTGACTGATGGTAAATAAACAGTATTTTCATCGAAAATCTCTTAAATGTTATGCAATATGTGGCATAGCGCACTTTTACATGTGACTGCATAACTTTTAGAAAATTTTATCATCGAGATACTCAATAATTTCTGTTCATTATACTTGAAACAAGTGTATGGATGATTGAACTTACCAGCAGATAACAATGCTACACGTGAAAGCATCCTGTTTGATTGTAAAAAGAATTTTAATCGAAAATGTTCGCAATCAAATAATTTTTCCTTTCGATCGGGGATGCAAACTACGCGCCGCAAAGGGCCTTTGATTTCATGTCAAATGATATTGCGATTCGCAATCCAAACTTATTGTGACAAAGTTTCAGAATCTCACCTTGTCGTTTTTGTGTTTCTTTTTCAAATAACAGTTTGGATTATTATTTTGAGTTTTTCTGTCCCCAAGCATAGAGCAATCAGTATTAAAGTGCTTAATAAAGTTCTTCGTGTCATTTATCTATTGAAACGCGAGACCAATCGTTTTCATTTTAGCGTTAGTAAAGAAATTGAGAAGTGATTTTTATTTCTGTAATAAATTTTACGCCGATATACATCAATCAGGATTAATTATGTCGTCAGACAACAAACAAGTGAGTTTTAATTACAAAAAAATGAGCAAAGATTAGAAAATTTCTCGATTAAATTGAAGTGAAGAATTTTTTTCGCGACTAAATTGGTTTTCATTTTTTGCTCATCTATAAATCAACAATAAGAAGCATAACTTTACAGAAGAAGATTAGATTGCTTTATGTCGGGTGCGGTGTGTTGAGAAAGCGTTTCATGATTAATTTCCTCGTCTTCCGCACTAAATTCGAAATTCTATTTATAAACGCATTGTGACCATTTGTTCATTTCTTTTGTTCTGGAATGATATTTATTTTATTTATGTTTCTTTGTGCTCAGATTATGCTTTTAAATCCGTTCATAAATCATGTCACTAAAGTAAAAATGTCATCACAGCACAGGATTATTTACTTTTCACTCGATTAAGTTGTCGTATTGATCTCATAAATTCATAAAATTACCTTTCATAGTTAATGGATGTTTTGTAGGTCATAATTTTCATTTTCTATTCAACGGATAATATTTTCGCATAAACATTCGTCTGCACAATGAATCATCATGATTCAACGTTCGTCGAACGGGTTTATTGATTTTTAATTGCCCAATGAAATCTGCTTAATTCTTTTGAGTGGCCCGGTTCGAAGTTTGTCTGGAATTTGTTTCGTTATTTGCACTTTCCAAGGTCAGGTCACAACTCATCATGTTTCCTTTTAATAAAAATCGATAAATACTTTCCTTTGAATGAAACAAACATTCCATCTTTACGCTTTCAAGAAATTTATAGCGTAGAATTCCAATTACAATAATAACAACTCAGTGCAGTGTTGAAGTTCCTCTCAAATTTCCACAAAACTTTTCGACGCCTTCCAAAAATAAAACTGGAGCAGCGCATTTGAAAGAAGGCACAAACATCACGAAGTTTTCATTTCTTTTCTTTTTAAGACTTATGTATGGGCACATATGGTGGTGCTATGAATAAAACGGAAGAGTCAGCAAATAAATTTGTGTCGACAATTTGAATGCAGTCATTGTGCATGCATCGTCTTTAAATGTTTTGATGAATTGAAATGAATAGGAAAGCAACAATTGAGAACAATCGATGTTCATTCATTAGTTTCATGACCTGTTCATGATTTACGAAAGAAGTTCACGCAATCTTTGAAATGTTGTGAAGAGCATCACGACCTCAATTATCGCTTTGTTGTTAGTTTTTAAATATTTAGCAAACAAACATTTCTCTCAAATATTTCTTACTTCAATTTGTCCCGTTGCTTCACAGTGAAAGTCACGCAAACTGCCACTTTATTAAAAATTCTTAATGCATCGTCAGCACACAAACACATTTTTATTCAATAAAATAACTTCTCGCGCTCTGCTCATTCCTCATTCGTTTTTCGGTTGAAAACATCAAATAATTAACCATAACTGATCGCGTGCTTTCTTCTTATTTGAAATCAACGAGTGGAAAAATGTGAGCACAAGAAATGCGATAAAACTTAATAAAGATTTAAGGTGTTCATGACATGTGACGAATATCAGACGCGGAATTGCAATTATCTATGCGAATTTCTATCATAACATTCTTATCAGACGTCAATTGTTGATTCTCCCCATGTTGTGGAATTTAAGTCACGACCTTTGTTGATAACAATGTTTATTGTTGTTTATGTCGTAGTTAATTTATTTCCGTTTCTTTCCTTAATATTTTCTTTCAGTTCTCGTCACTTGACACTGCTGGATATGTTGGATTTGCCAATTTACCTAATCAAGTTCATCGTAAATCAGTGAAAAAAGGATTCGAATTTACTTTGATGATTGTCGGTGAATCAGGCCTGGGAAAGTCGACTCTTGTCAATTCATTGTTTTTAACTGATTTGTATCCTGAAAGAGTTGTTCCTGATGCTGTTGGTAAGTTAATCTAATAAATTAATTAAACAAAATATTTTAATAAAAACTTCCAGAGAAACAGAAACAAACTTTGAAGCTTGATGCTTCGACAGTAGAGATTGAAGAGCGTGGAGTGAAATTACGTTTGACAGTTGTCGATACGCCAGGCTTTGGTGATGCCATTGATAATTCAGACAGCTTCAGTGCCATTTTAGAGTACATTGATGAACAATATGAGAGATTCTTACGTGATGAAAGTGGATTGAATCGTCGCAACATTATTGATAACAGAATTCATTGTTGCTTTTATTTTATATCGCCATTTGGACATGGGTAAGATGAAAAATCGTCATTTAAGTTAATTAAATTAATAAAATTAAATTCAGATTGAAACCTTTGGATATTGAATTCATGAAGAAGCTTCACTCGAAAGTTAACATTGTTCCAGTCATTGCAAAAGCTGATGTCTTAACAAAGAAGGAAATGAATCGTCTTAAGATTCGAATTCTTGAAGAGATCAAAGAAAATGGCATAAAAATTTATCCACTGCCCGATTGTGATTCTGATGAAGATGAAGATTACAAGGAACAAGTGAGACAATTGAAGGAAGCGGTTCCTTTTGCTGTCGTTGGATCGACGACATTGTTGGAAGTGAAGGGAAAGAAGGTTCGTGGGCGTTTGTATCCATGGGGCGTCGTTGAAGTTGAAAATCCTGAACATAATGATTTTATCAAACTGCGAACGATGTTGATGTGAGTTTTCTCTTCATATTATTCAATCAGATTTCTTTCTATGCTTTTATTCCCATAGAACTCACATGCAAGATCTTCAAGAGGTGACACAAGAAGTTCATTATGAGAATTATCGATCTCAACGTTTGGCAAAGTCTGTTCGACAAAATGGCACGAAAACCACAAACGGAAATGGTCATTTGGCAAAGGAAGAAGTTTTTGACGACGTCGATTCATCGGAGAAAGATCGAATTTTAAAAGAAAAGGAGGCAGAACTTCGAAGAATGCAGGAAATGTTGGCACAAATGCAAGCCAAAATGCAACAAGCGCAGCAGTAAGAAAAGAATTAAACACAAACATTTCGAACTCGAATATAAATTTGAATCTCTTTCTTCATGAGCTGGTGTCATTAGAACATCGCAGCTCTCATTTCTTCCTCTTTTTCGAGAACTTCCTTTCGAATAACTTTAAAATTTTAAATCCATTTCATTAAATACATGCGCGTAGGTGTTCATTTCACTTTTTTTTCGTGCCAATAATTTTTTATTTTTCTACATTTTTCTTATTTGCAATGCTAGAATGCAATTTCCAATTTCGAGAGACTAAAAGAATATTTTTTAAAGATTTAAACTGTCACAAGACGATTCCACGATTAAACATCTTTTGTGGTTTTACTTAATTAAAGCAGAAAGAAATCATGCTTCAATTGCGTTGCTTATGAAAAGTATTTAAACGTATCGCAAAATTTTCAGCGAATTTAGCTTTTAAGATTGAAAAATAATTTTTTTTCTCTTTTGAATGATCGAAAATTTCAATAATTTGATGAATTTGAAGAGTAAATTACCTAATTTTATTTGGGTTGGAGATATGGAATTAACAATGATTGATTGTAAGAAGTTAACACCAGACCACCGAGTAAAATAAGTCAACTTAATAAACATTAAAAGTTAACAATTTTACTGAAATTTAATCTTAAATTTGATCTGACAAAACCAAAGGTTTGACTTAAGCTCGTTTGATTTTCACCGGTGTTTGATTTGACCGCCCAACTGCGCTCCTCAAGAAAATCTAAAACGAATCAAACCCTGGACAAAACTTTCACGCAATTTCCTTTAAATTCATCAAATTATTGAAAAGCTTATCAAAAGAAAATATTTTTAAGATCATTTTTAACATATATCAATGATTGCGATAATCATTAAAAATTGCATTATCTACATATATTTTTTCACATGATATCGAATAAAACATAAACCAATATTGAGTCATAAAGAAATCAAATTTCTTTCAACTTTTTGTCTATTTCTATCATTCACAATTTCAGATTCAAACTATCAAAAGATGATTCCTGAATTAAATAATTGAATCCTTTTAAGACATATCCCGATCTCTACTAAAGTTTCTTTGTTTATTGTTTGAATCGTGAATTAATAAAATGACTTGTGCTTTAACAATCAAAGAGTTGATTGAATATTAAAATTCGCAAACAGTTGCTTCGATGATTTTCTATTCCATTGCATCGATTGAAATTTAGTTTTGATGAGCCAATTAAATTTTATTCCATTTGCTAAATTAGGTTTTTAATTACATTTTCATTTAACAATTCATATCTTGAATGTTATTTTGGGATATGATGAAGGCCTTATGGCATTGCTTCCATACTTGCTTTAGCTGCAATAGCAGCATTTTCAATCGTTTCATATGTGTTAAACATAAATTGATACAGTTGAATTAATGCTTCAGCAATGCAAGAAATTGGATAATCGGCAGTATCAATTTGTTGTGTCATAACGTCACTCAAGTAATCAAGAGAAGAATTAGTTTCAGTTGCGATTTGACCAATAATTGTTCCCAATACTGCGTATAGAATTTGGCTTGCAGCATCTACTGATGCTATAATTTCATCAATTTTCTTCTGAATTCCTGTTGATTGTGTATTATAAATTATATCATCAATAAGTGGGAAGAAATCTTGTACAGAAGATGGTATTCCGTTGTTCGAAAGAACAGTTTGAAGTTCAATTAGGAGGCTAACAGCATTTTCCGATTTTTCATGATTTGTGCCACCAAAATCCACATCAGCGCCTTCAAAAAATGGTAAATATTCTGATACAGCATCACCGATGAAGTCTTTGATGTTGTCCAATCTATTAATAATGTCACTTGGGCTGAACGACAAAGGTGGACTTGAACAAGAATTTCCATCACCCGAGAAAGCTTCTTCAGCAATAATCACAACAAGGAACAAATGTAAAAGCTTCATAGTTAATGTTGAACTTCAGTAGTTAGAACTGTACTGACTTTTCACTTATCCTTTCAGCATATTTATACTTGAAAATTTTAATTATAAATTTTCATTTCAAATTCATTGAAATCGTGAAAAATTGTTCAAAGAACATTAAAAGATAATTGAATGATTGACGTTATTGCCACAATGTGACAAAAATGAGTCGTGCTAATGAAACTATTTAAGGAATACATTTTAATGTTCTCATTATGGAACTTTTATCGTGAAAAAAACTTTGTTATCAGGGCTCTTAAATGTAATATGATGTCCCATTAAACCCAAACCTTACTTGCTTTACTTTATTTCTGTTCTTTTTTTAGCTGTCAAATTGGCTTTTCAAGTTTCGAGAACTAAAGTTCAAGTGTAAATTGTTTATATTTTCCGCTTTGTCATTGGTCTTCAAAGATCAACGTAAAAATTGAATTAAATTGCATTAATATTTTGAATAGCCAATTAAACTTTATTTCATATGATAACCAAATCGCATATTTTAAATACATTCTAATTTAATAATTTTTTATTTTGAATGTTGTTTTTGGATTATGATAAAAGTTTTATGGCGATGCTTGAATACTTGTTCTGGTTTCAATAGCAGTGTTTTCAATCGTTACATTTGTGAAACGAAAAAATTGAAGCAGCTCAATTAATGCTTTAGCAATACAAGAAATCGGATAATCGGCAGGATCAACCTGTCCTATTATAACGAGAATCAAGTAGTCAATTGAAGCATTAGTTTCAATTACTATTTGAGCAAGAATTGATTGCAAAATATCTTCTAGAATTTCGGTTCCAACAATTACTGATGCTATAATTTCATCAATTTTCTTCTGATCTCCAGTTGATTGTATATTAAAAATTATATCATTAATTTGTGGCAAGAATTTTCCTAGATCAGATGGTATTCCGTTGTTCGAAAGAACAGCTTCAATGTCATTTAAAAGGGTAGCAACACTATCCGATTTTTCTTGATTTGTTCCAACGAAATCAGCGATATCAGCGCCTTGGAAAAATGGTAAAACTTGCGTTGCAACATCATTGATGTAGCTTTTGATATCGTCAAATCTATTTGCAATGTCACTTGGGCTGAACGACAAGGATGGACTTGAGCAAGAATTTCCATCACCCGAGAAAACTTCTTCAGCAATAATCACAACAAGGAACAAATGTAAAAGCTTCATAGTTAATGTTGAACTGAATAGTCAAAACTGTACTGACTTTTCACTTTAATTAGAAATATTTCAAGCTTTTCACGAAATTTTCATTTCAAGTTTATTGAAATCGTGGAAAAATTGTTCAAGGATCATTAAAAGATAATTAGGTAAATGATGAACTGTTATTGCAAAAATGTGTGTGACAAAAGTGAGTCGTGAGAATCAAAATATTCAAGGAACACATTTA